CCTTCGTGGAGGACTTTATAAGGGAAACTGGTTCGTATACACGTTACACATGGGGAAAACCACGAAAACACCCATCAGCCAGCCGGTTCGCGGGATTCGAACCTCGGACCGAACTACCAGTGTTCAGCGACTTTACCGCTCGGGCGTTGGTGGGCCGTTCTTTCTGTGTGCCAAGAACTGAAAACATTTCGGTGCTACTTTGCTAGACGGATGAACGGATTTGGGGTCGATTTACTTTGGCGCAATTGTTGGCGTGGTTTTTTACAGTCGTCAGCCACCTTGAAAAACGCTGTTTTCACGTATTTTGCGCATAGTAAAGTATTCGAAACTTTAAAAAAATAAATATCGTTAAAAATAATGGATTAATTTTTTTGTTGAAAACGTTGTTTTTTAAGATGGCAGGCAAATGTAAATAAATACATTTACTATGAGTATAAAATACTAAAGTAAGGTTAAATTATTTTTTTTATATAGCAAAGAAATAGAACAAAAACACCGGGTACGTTTCCGTTTCACCGGCGCAAATCTCGTCAAGCAGACTTTGTTGGCGACAACATACAGTATACACATAAAAAATGTTAGTTCTAATAATTTTTTATTTTGAAGACATAAACATTTTAATATCGTTTAAAATTTTGTAAAAAGCCAAATAAATAAAGACAGTAAAATTGTAAAAAGACATTAATTTAAAAATTAACTTTGAGACACAAAACACATGTAAAGAATGCTTATCATTTACTTTTCCCAAATTTGATCGATCTTGGGACTTCAACTTTAGACAAAAAAGGTACATCTTTCATCCATTTAAAAAATTCTTTCTTTGTATCTGCATCTACTTCCTGCTGGATGTTTTCAGACTTCCCAGCTGGTGTTTGCTTTCTATAAATGTTTCAAAAGAAGTTTGGGAATTAAGGTTATTGGACAAGCAATTCCCAAAGGATCGAAAATTCTGTGAGCAGCAGCTAAAATAGTTCTTTTCGTTATTTTCTCAGTGCACAGATTCTCGAAACTGGATATATTCACTTGGAGGGTATCTCTCATTTCGTTCCATGTTAATCCAAGAACATTTGCAGAAGTAAGAAAAAGTCTTGAAGAATATGTATTTTCCCATCTTCTCAAATCAAACTGTCTTTCTGACACTACTTCTGAAGCCACTGTTATAAAAGTTCGTTTCAGATTCATCTTTCACACTCGTGACACAATTGTCAACGTAGAAACTATTAAGAAGTTTCTGTATAATTTCTTTTGGATAAATGGACTGTCCTTCTACGCATTGGGTTAGAACTGTCTGTAAATGATGCTGAATAACATCTCCAAGGAGGAAGGAACTGCTGAAAAATCTCCGAACACAACTCTAAAGTGAGTTAGAAACTCCGAACACAACTCTAAAGTGACGATAAATGTTCAAGTCATTGTTGCTTTTACATACAGGAATCTTAGGAAATTTCTATCAATTGGATAAAGGCTTATTTGGAGAAAGACTTTTCGACTATCTGCAGCGACACCTACTTTGTCTAAACTAAATCTAGTAAAAGTGGAAGGAATCCGTTCTATGAGGTTTGGGCCCTTCTCTAAACATTCATTGAGACTGGGTGAGCCCTTTTCTCTTGCTGAAGCATCAAATACTGGTCGGATTCGTGCCGTACTGTTTTCTTTAAAAATATGCCTGTGAGGAAGATAATGACAAAAAACATCTTTTTCACTCAATGGTACCTTCTTTCAACCAATCCTGAAATATATTTCCGTAGTCTTCATATAAGCCATCAGCTTATAAGGTATCTCTCCCGCTCTCCTAACGTGCCTTTGTGGTGTAGTGGTTCTGCACGATGGGCGGCCGGTAGTCCAGAGGTCCGCGGTTCGATTCCCGGCAAAGACGGTTGCTAATTTTTCATCTTTCCGGTATTTTCCAAAAATACCTAATGTCTTTACCGTGGCGCCCGAACTAAAAGGGTTGTGGATTATGACTCTCCACACCCAGGGTTTGGCGATTCGGTCGCCTAAAAACCCCAATCACCCTTTAAAAGGGTAAGTATATAAGGTATCTCTCCCACTTTCCTAGCGTGCCTTCGTGGTGTAGTGGTTCTGCACGCTGGGCCCGTATTCCAGAGGTCCGTGGTTCGATTCCTGGCGAAGGCGGTTGCTAATTTTTCCTCTTTCCGGCTTTTCCAAAAATACCTAATTTAATAAATACCTATAATGTCCAAAAATACCTCTACAAGCTTTTAATTTCTTCAATGTAGAATTCAGTCTTTTGAGAGATAAGTCATTGTCCCCAAAAATTAAGCCAATTATTTAAATCACCATTAAATCTTGGTAATTTTATCTTGGGATAATTTAACATTGTATTAGGAAATTGCGAAATCGACAGACATCCTATATGTAAATCGGAAGTTTTCTGTTCTGACACTTGTAGTAATTTATTCATTTTATATTCTAACTTTGTCCATCTATCTAAATATGATTCTGACTCATCAACCTCTTTTTCGATAATTTTTTCATCTATAACTTGTTTAAATAGCTCTTGCTTAAAATCGTTTTCAACTGAATTCATTAATTTTGATTTCTCTTGAATAACCCTTAATTCTAAAATTTTTTCTTCGTTACTTAAATTATTTTTTCTTTGATCAAATTCATTACACGATTAGAAAATACTCTACAATGCGCTTACGGTAGTTTTAAAGCTTCTATACTCAAAATAAGAAACAAATTGCTTACTTTTGTTGCAGTTCCAATCCTTTTGCGACGCCAGTTGACAAAATAATTGCCTCTCAAAATACTAAAGTCAATAACGATTCATTAAAACTCCAAGTTGTTTTGATAACACATTTATTAGACGTACGCACGTCGAAACTCATATGTGCATCTTTAAATATCACAAAAAAGATGCCTTTTCTTTTAAACTAAACACAGCATAAACACACTTAAAAAAGAATAGAACACTTAGCAATATTTCTATGTGCCAGAGCCTACTACTAAAAAACGAAGTACAAATATGTCAAAAATGAAATTAGCAGGCATTATTCAAAGATAAAATAATATAACAAAATAATAACTTACGTTTGGAAACTATTTGAAAGATACAATTTTTCACAACGATATTAAATTTGTTTTGTTGTTATTTTTTTATAATTTTGCATTTTTGTAGAAAAGGACATTTTATTCTCCATCTTGTTCCTCATTTTTCCTTAAAAGATTAGATTTTATTGCAACACCTTTAATTTTTCATAAACAATATTTTTCAAAGAGGATAAAATCACCATGAGAGACAAATAAACAAAATAATTACATGAAAGCCGCAGTATAATTTAAGTGTAAGGAAAAGGATTATTGTATTAAATAACAGGCGATTTTCTTTTCCTAGACCCGTTAGTTTTAAGTAATTTCGTTTTGCACTCTCTTAATGATCACATAGTCAAGAACTGAAGTATAAAGCAAAATCTCTGACGCGTTAAGATTCGTTGTATGTTTGAATCAATTTAAAAAAAAAAAAAAAAAAAGAAGGTTTCAGATTTTAAATTGGGTCCAAAGGGAACGTTTTTTTACCGTTTTGTGTGTTACCTTTATTTATTAAATATCATGTTCTTCGCACCTAAACCATAAATTTCAGTTCAATAGCAATTTCGCAAAATAATTTTAAAATAAGCCTATCTTTAAAATTTCCCGGAGATAAAAAGGTTTTTTTTTCTTTCCCGTAGATTGTTGCCATTGCTCGCTTTCAAATCGTTGAGTTTGTTACTAAAAAATTCCTTAAGGTTTTACAAAATATGAAATCGATAATAAAACAAATTCCAAATTTCAAATTCGAGCTTCCACATGCCCACATTCGCAGTAGGATTACGTCATTCAAAATTCGATGGCTCTATATGCCGTTGTTTCATCACAACGCAAGAAATATACATACATTTATCAGATTTTTCAGTATTTAATTTCTTCAAATATAATGCAGGACTCTAACATTTGGTGGCAACAGTTTGAAAAGTGAAACGGACATTTATAGTGATTCAAGCCAAAATCGCAAAACGAAAGAATTTCTCTGTAACTTACCAAGCCTCGTGAACTGGAGGAAACGGCGTTCGCGAAAGTCCTCATCTCCTTTCTACTACTAAGAACATATAGTGAATTTGAGTTTCAGAAAGCAGCGCCTCCTTTTACTCTATATCACGTAAGGAACATAAGTAAAACCTAAAGACGAAAGTAAATGACAGGTGGCCGCCATCAGTCGACGAAAAAGGTGAGTGTCTGGTTGAAGGTCCAAAGCAGTGAACTGAAGAATCTAGTATAAGTAAAAAATCTTAAGGATGGAGAATGTCAGATGGATATTTGTGCTTTTCTCTGAGAAATGGAGAACATCTAACAGAGTTGATGCAGTTGTTAGGATGAGTGAAAACTGAATAGAAGAAATTTCTGGCAAGTTTTTGAATATAATCTTGAATTGTATCTACTTTGAGATCACGGTGCATCTCCTTTCTTCGTGCTTAAAAGCAAGATTGCTACAATGCAAAACGAAAACAATAGTCCTTCAGGAACAAAGTCTCTTTGGACTAATAAAAATAGACGTGACCGAAACATAAATAAAAAAAATAGAAAATCCATACATAAAATGATAGTTCTTATAAAAAGTAAATTATTCCTATAATACAACATACAAACAAACCGAACAATGGTTAAAACTTAAAATCTGTAGTTTATTTTTAATATTGAGCTTCCTCAAATTTTTGGGAAAAGCAAAAGTATATGCTGTTTGGCATTGAAATTTCTTTAACAATATTTCCGCCTTGTGATACGATGATTCTTCATCTTTCCTCTATATGGCATTCAATCAAACTATATAGACCGATAATAATCTGGACGGAAACTAGTTTGTCTGCAATCATCTATTTTCTCCCTTAACTGTATGGCCGAGACAATCACTGTAGAAATGAAAAAGGAAGTTGTGAATTGCCCTACGATTTCTTAAATGTGTTAACGTAATTGCTTGATAGTAGCGGAGTAAGCATACGATCCATAAGGTCACGATCTGCGCGCAAAGCGTGTCACGAGCTGAGGTGAACAGATTGCGGAAAGGGAACATGCGCGCAAGACCGGAGCATTGCGAGTGGCTGTGGAGTTTGTTTACTTTCTCCTTTTGATGTGGGCGAAAGAATTCGATGCTCTTCGCTTATGCCGCTTGAAAAAGTGTATTTTTAATTTTTTATGCACTGTTTCACATAGGAGATGATTTTTTTAACAATAGTTGCAATTTTACCTCAGATTTCCTTGCAGGTAAATGCTTTTTTTTATGTATACATATAGAATAAATGAGGCTTTTTCCGAGGCCGATTCTCCATCCCCTTGAGACTCGAAATCATGTGCGGCAGATATGTGAGCCAATTATGCGAGGGGTTTATGTCCATTTATTGTGGAGCGAATTTTGAAAACAAATTTTTATATTTTGTTATGTTGCTGTTCTGTAGGGAAAATTGTTTTAATTTTTGAATCTCATACTTCGGAAAATACGCCTGACTAATTCAGGAATGATGTACGAAAATAATTTTGAAATATAGTTATTTTATGTGGAGCGCTTATAAGAAAAATCGGAATTTACAATTATATTTAATGGTTTGAATACCGTGTGCTATATTTAATCGTGTTTGTGCATTAAATGTAGTAGTTATGAATACGAATTTTCAAAGTTGATTACTTTTGAGAACTTCCGGGGAGTTAACTCTTCAAGAAACCGTTAATAATTGCCTTACGAACATCGCAAGAAGAAAATAAATCATGATTAAAGTTTGGAAAAACTCTTTAAATTTTTAATCATACAGTAATTTTAAATTGTTCATATATTTGATAAAAATGAAACATTCATCATATATTTAGCATGAATTTGTCACACAATATGGAATTGCTTAGTGATATATATTTTATTCAAAGTGTAGTGTCAGCAAAAAGAATAAAAAAAGTTTTTCACATTGTTCCTTTTTTTTAGAAATTTTCATGGAGCATTTTAGAAAATCAGAAACTTTTTTGAAAATTTCATTTGATAAAAAAACTGGCAGTGTGTCTGTAAAATATATAATAATATATTTTACTGTACGATTCCTGTAGCAGTTAAAAGAAAATCAGTAATATTTGAGTTATATATGTAAAATTAAAACTATTAGGAAGATCATTAGGTAATGGTTTATAAAAAAAAAAGAATTTTATTTTAAAAAGATAATCGAGAAATAACCAAAAAAAATTTTAAATTGATAAGGGCTAATGAGGGAAGTGAATAATACACACTTTAAATAAACATATAACTAATGGAAGTAATTATATGTTTATAATTACTTCTACTTGCTTTCTGATTGTTATGTTTTTTATAATAAAATAATAAACATAGCAATCATAAAATTGTTTGTTTATTATTTTATTCCTCATTTCACATGCTGCTGTACATTATATATTTCTGAAATGATGAAAAATGTATTTGCTGTTAATGGATGCATTTTCTTCTAGTCAAAGGAATGTTTTCTCTTATTACCATATCATGTATATAAGTATTTATGGGAAAATTAGTTAATGTAAACAGAATTATTAATATATATTGGAAATACCAAAAAGTATTCTATATAAATATCAAATATTTTGTTCATTTCAGGTCAGCATAATTTTAAAAATGTATGCTGTTTTATTATTTGGATATTGCACCAAAAAATATTCTGAATATTTTTTAAAACAGCCATGAACATATATCTTTTCTTTTTAAATGAATGAATTTACAAAGCAGATCATTGTAGCATAATAAACAATTTTACAAATAAAAATATTACTGCTATTCATTTATAATATAGTTGTCACTTTGTAAGAGTATATGGTTTTTCATATATTTCATATGCAATTAAAATTTTGTTATTTATTAGTCATATGTATGTTTCAATCGCACTTTTTTCTGTTTTATAATAATTGAACAATTAAACTGTTTACATATGAAAATCTCGGTATAAAAATTTTTAGTATAAAATATTTCAATTACATTGAGTCTCATTATATGTTATAGTATTTATTTCCTTTGAGTGTTTTAAATGTATTCTGCCTTGAATCATGCCTTTCATAAGACTTTTGCTTAATAGAAAATTATTGATTTCAGGCAATTTAAATATTTGAAGGGTCTTCTGTTATCGGGACCAGATTCAGAAATGTGTGTGTTCATACTCATGTGTATTTATTGTGTATTATACACATTCATACATACATACATATATATATATGAAATACACCCGTACGTATCTTTCTGAATCTGGTTCCAATAACAGAAGAGTAATTAAGTTAATTTTTAAAGCAATGTAACTAAGTTCAGAAATAGCTCATATTTGAAAATCAAATTAATAAATAAATAATAAAATAAAAAAATGTGGAGATTTCCCAAAGTGTATATCTCTTTGTTTAATCTCTAGCGTAAAATATTTATGAAGGTTAGATGCTACATTTGCAATGAAATTGAAAATTCGTATTCATAACTACTACATTTAATGCACAAACACGATTAAATATAGCACACGGTATTCCAACCATTAAATATAATTGTAAATTCCGATTTTTAGGGGACAAGATTTAAAATTCAATTTAGAATAAAAAATTGTATTTAATACATTTTTATGAAGCCATAAATATGATGCTGTTTTCCAACCATGTTTATTATATCAAAAGTAATTTTTTCCCGCATCAACATGTTATATTTAAATGGGCCTTTTTAATTTATTATTCGTAGTTTATAGAAGTGTATTATTATCAGTAAAAAGACCAAGAAAATCAGTTTTAATTCTTTCTGTAGAAACATATGTTTCCAAGTTTTCTTTACTGTAAATTTTATTGCAAAGATTCTTCTTTTTTTTTAATATATTTTTTTACTTAAAAGAATATGAAATGATTTTGCTTATTTATTTTAAATTGTCATGCAAGTAGATAATTATTTATTTTTAACCATTTGTGTAAGATTTTATGATTGCAAAATAATGCAAAAATATACATGCAATGATATGGAGCTTAATTTTTCAACTCCTAAGTACCAAAAATATAGCTTTGAATTTTTTTAAGCACAAAATATTTCAAATAATTGAATATGAGTAAGTCCTTGAATTAATTAATGTTGCAGCGCTGAACATGTGGTTGACTATGAAATGTTAATAAATTGTTTTACTCTCATTATATAACAGAAAATATTTTCATATAAAAATTGAAATTAAAATATATAGAACTATGAATAGTTATCAGATATTTAAACTACTGCTTATGTATTAAATTTATATAATTTTTATATATTTTACAAATTTCTGCCTCTAAATTGAAAAACTACATGTTCCTTAATTTCAAAGTTGCAATTTTATGATTAAAAGTATTTTATTAATACTATTAGAAAATATATGTCTTATATTAAACTATACTCTGTAAACTCACCACATCGGTTTTTAAAGCTTCTTATTTATGATCTAAAAAATATTTTTAAAGTCATTATATTTTGCACTTCTGATTTCAAAATAAGTTTCCCAATCTTTTCAAAGTTTTATCAGTGCAGAATGTTGTACTTTTTAAAGCTGTATTAATACATTTCAAGAAATGTAAAGTATTGTTTCATTGTTGTTAAATATTTTTATTTGCAATAGTGGAGATGCATTAAGTTCAAAGTTTCTTATCATTTCAATATCTTAACAGAACTAAGAAATTTGACTAAAATATCGTAAATAATAATTATCATCTGACTTTAATATGTTATATTAATTTGTGATTGTCAAGTAATAAAATACACCATTTTCCTAAAGATTTATTTGGTACATAACTAGTGGTGCTTATAAAATATTTCAACAGATTTTAAGCATATGTGTTACCAGGCTAATTTCCTTCATCAGAGGGATAGTACAAATCTGTCAGATAGTTTCTATTGAAACATACTGAAGTTATTTTTTTAAACTATATTAATAAAATTTAATGTAAAATAAATAAGCTGAAGAGAAGCAGAATTTTTCCTTCTCATAAAATATACCATGCATTCACATATCTCTTACTTTCAGACTGCACAAAGAGAAGATGGACATTGTGTTATGCATAACCGTTGCATGGGAGAATTTGGAGAAGCTCCCTGTGTTTATAATGGTCCTCCAAAACCTTTAGAACCTGATTTTATTGAGGAAATGAATATTTCATCATTTCAGCTTCTGAAAAATCTGTGCCCAGATTTTGTTTATGGTATGTTAATTAAAATCTTATACTTGAAGATTTAATAATAATGGAATTATACATTTGTGAACTATTTCAGAAATACCGAAATTCAAAGTACTCGAAGAAGAAGGAAGATTGTCATTTTTACGTAAAAGAGCCTATGTTTCCTGCTGATTAATGACACTCTTGCAGATGATGCTAAGTTTCATAATATATTATAATATTTCATAATATCTTATAATATTATCTTATAATATAGTTTCATAATATCTTATAATAGTGTATGTTATATGACACCTTTTTGGAAAAAGAATGCATATCAAAATTACATAAAGTTTTTATTTGTTATTGGTTTATGAACTGAAATATGGTACCACAAGCATTTAATTCTTTGCTGCAATTTTTCATACAAGCAGTTATACCTAAAGCACTAGAAACTAAGAAATACTTGAAAAAAAAAAAAAAAAAAAAAAAAACCTTGATTTTTTTTCTACTAATCTCAAAATGTAAACTGTACTTGAAAACTTGTTATTTTTAATTTAAATTAAATTTTATTTATTCCAAAACTTAAAAAAATTTACGTAAGATAGGAAGTAGGACTTTTTACATGAAATTATTTCCAGTTGTAATAAATTTATGAGATCTACTAAAGCTTAAAATTTTAAATTTGATAAAATTTGTCTCCTCAATTATGTCCTCTTATCCATTGTAAACAAAGGTCAGTTGTTAACAGAAATCCTCATTTTAGTTAGATAAATGTCATAAATTTTGTTATAATTAATCTACTAGATCCTGTCAGAATTTGACATGAATTCTAAACAGAACTGCTGCATATATGGGAGGTAGATTACAATAATTATCCATCTATTGAAGTAGACTCTTGGATGTTATTTTTTCAATTATTAAACTGATCAAATTCCTGAAAAGGCAAGGCATTTGTCTTTCACAATGCACTAACCCTTTCCCTTTTTTATTTGAAATTAAAGGTTGAATTTTACTAGTTATAAATTTCATTTTGACTTTTTGAACTGATACACAAGTAAATTTTAATCAAAAATAAAATATTAAGTTTGAAATTTAGTCAACTTGGCAAATGTTAAAAAAAAGGGGTGAGGGGGAAAAGAAAGTATAAGAACAGTTTGTTTTAAGTGTGGTTAGGAAGTGAAAATAGATTTGATCAAAAGCTTAATTAATGAAAAAGCCAAAAATAAATTAGATCTTGGTTATGTCAGATGAATTAGGTAGGCATGTAAGCTTTATGTTTTTCATGCTATCTGTTTGGCATTTATGAACCTTATCTGCATCTTCTGTTATTACATTTGTGTTTCTTTATGAATAACCTTTTAAAATCGTAAAATAGCTAAAATGTCAAAATTTTTATTCAAAAGAATATAACAGTGGTTAATATTAGCGATTAGCATTTAAATGTCCCATTTAAATATTTATGTTACTAAGTTGCTTATTACTTTTTGCTGGGTACTCTTCTGTTATCAGAACCGGCTTCAGAAATGTATGTATGGATGTATGTGTTCGTGTATGCATATATTATATGTAATTACATATGTATGTGTATGTATGTACACACACAGATACACACATATATATATATAAACACATGCATACATACATTTCTGAATCTGGTCCCGATAACAGAAGACTACCTTCTTTTACTAAATTTATACAGAGAGCCAATATTTGATTGTAGGTTTTTTTTTTTTTTTTTTTTTTTTTTTTTTTTAAATTTTTTTATTTATCACAAATTATTTTGCAGAAGCAATTTTTTTCACTGAGGACACAAGAAGTATCTATATTACAGAGTTTTATTAGAAAATATGTGTAAAAGTGATCATTTTGCATTAACACATGTAATTGTATGCATTAACACACTGTTATTCAATGTAGGAATGTTTTAAAAACCTGACTGATTAATAATGTGTTAGAATCGAATTAATTATTAGTTTTAGTACACTCAGACTAATTTAGTAATTCAAGAATTATATAATTGAGTAGGATTTTAAACTATTTATTTATTTTTCCTTTTATGTAGATGATTTGAATAGAAAATTAAAATTTATTAATTTAAAAAACTGATAATCCTTGGCAAATTAAAACAAAAATAATCAGAGTTCTAAAAAATCTTATTGCCTTTGTTATAATTTTAAAAGTGCTTTCATTCTGTTCATGAGCTTTCTTATCATCATTCAGCTCACTGCAACTTGCATTATGTGTAATATGAAACTTGGTTAGGATCTGAACATTGACTCTCAATCTGATCAATCAAGTATCTGAACTGATCTGAATCAAGTATCTGAACATTGACTCTCAGGTTGTTTATATTGAAATTTGTCTTATATTATTGAGATTAAATTTACTGATTAAATATTTGATCATATTTAATATTTAATCAGTAATCATATTTAATCAGTTTAGATGAAAAAAAGTTTTGGGGAAAAAAAAAAAAGATTGACTTTTTTTTTACAAATCTTGTGTTAACAAATCTTATAAATCTTGTGTTAAAACTTTGAAAATCCAAACTAAAATGTTATTATTTGTAGGTATTAATTACTTAATATTGTTTCAGATAATGATCCTCATGTTTGCTGCAGCACTGAACAGTTGGTAGCATTCCATGGACAAATGGAATTAGTAGAAGTATTAGGATTTTCACGGTGTCCATCCTGTTTTCATAACTTTCGCCGAATCATTTGCTATTTGTCCTGTACACCATGGCAAAGTAGATTTCTTCGGGTAAATCGCAGCCGGGAATATGAGACTGGTGAAGTAGTAGTTGAAGAAGTTGTTTATTATGTTTCAAAACAGTAAGTTTGTTGAAATTCTGAAATAATTATTATTCAATATCTTTGATTATTTTACTCATTAATTATTTTAAGTGATTAATTTTGATTTATTCTAAGTGACTTTGATTGAAATTATAGTGGAACTTCAGATCACGGATGTCTCCCATCATACATAAACTGGTTCCCAAACAAATTATTTGAACATAGAATATCTTATATGAACACTCAGGTGGGCAGTAAATGATTTTCAAAAGTGTTTTGCGGATTCTCTGAGACAAAATCAACACTCAGAAATTTTCAAATTATTTTAATACTTTCCATTAATTCTTATTAATAAAACAGGGTAGTGCCTTGTTTGCGGAACCTGAAGGAATTGATGCTTTCAACCTGAAGGAAATTATAGCGAGATTGTATTGCAGGCAAAAATTTTGATGATATTGACACTTAGGATTTTTCTATTATTTATTGTACCTGTAGGCAAAATCATGGGTTTGGAAGTTAATAGTGAAGATGTGAAAGAGCTATTAGAGGACTAATAAAAATGAAGCAAATCAATACTATTGTATGCACCTGTCTTCATCCACTGGTTTTTGTGCCTTAAAACCTCAATGCTAAAGTTTGTGAGACTATATTAGACATTTCTGTGCTACCAATAGCACAGTTTGAAACTAACTTGTACCATTTTCCAAATGACTGTTCTTCTCATTCATAAAATAAAAACTATAACTAAATGGTTAGAAGGAAAAGGAGTGGATGAGTTTAACTGAAAGCAGTTAAACATCTCTAGCATAAGTTGAGTGCCAGTGGAAAGGCAAACAAAACCATATCAAAGTCATCATAGAACTTTTCATCATGTTGCAGAATCAGTGAAAAGCAAATTCCTGCAGGTGTATGATTTGAAACTTAGTAGAAAGAGTTCTTCGAATTGCAGAGGCTGCAACAACAATTAATGGCAGACTATGTCCAGCTGGCAGTATTTCAGCTCCAGTTAAGTAGCTTCCTATGTGTATCTAGCATTGAATGTATATGCACTTACAGAAATCATATACTTGTTTTGGGATACATTAATGTTAATTCATTAAGTTCATAAAAGTTGACATTTAAAGTATAATTAAGTGCAGTTTGTATTTTTTAATGAATTTTTTAAAATTCTGCTCAATATTTGTCAAAATTTCACTTAACTTTTCTGCTTCAGATAGTTTTCATTTTTTATCTCACTAGGGTAATATTGTTTTATTTGATAATAAATTTGTAACTCTCTTTGTTATTAGATATGTCTACAGTCTTTATGATTCTTGTAAAGGATTGCAAGGTTTAACTCCTGGTTCTTTTATCATGGATTATGGAGTGTGTGGTTCATGGGGGAGTGCACACTGTAGTCCTGAACGTTGGACAGAGTTTATGGGATCAACTCCTGATGAAGGTGCTTTTTCTCCATTCAAAACTCACTATGAATTACATGTTGAAAATACTGTGTATCATGATGGACAAGTTTTCTACCCCATGAGAGCACCATCTTCTAAGTTAGTATCTTTTTTATATTTGGATTTCATATTTTTTATAAATATATGTAATTAGATTCAAAAAGATATTTTAAGTAAAAACAAGTTGACACTGTTACTTTTAACTTAAGGTAAGTATACTAAAATATATTTGTGAATATTTGCATAGTTAATGTGGATAAAAAAACATTTATAAATTACATTGATATGAAATGAAATATATATAAATTGCATAATGTAGCATGCTCAGCTTTCCTCTTTTCATTTGACGCAGTTTTGATAAGAGATATTTTCATTTCACAAATGGAAATTATTTTACTGCACTTTCACATTTTCCACAAGCTGATCCTTTGCATTTTTACCATATATCTGCAGTTCTGGTTTCACTACATTTTTCAAATTCACATTGTACACAAAAGTTTAGTTTTTATTTCTGAAATGAAATTTGTGGAACAGAGCATGCATTTGGAAATCGTATGTTTTTGTAAAAGATATTCAGAAAGTTGCAATAAAAAATCTCCCCTAGGAACAATGTTTCCTTTGGGAACATTGCAACATTATGGAATGTTTTTGCAAACATTATAGAACACATACATTGGCTGTCTGTGAATTCCTGCTTTTATAATAAGGCAATTTCTTGTCATTATCTGCAACATCTACATTTGATGAAGTGGGCTTAGGCCTAATACATTTTTATTGTTCTTGTACTGATGGATGATCATTGAGATCTTTCTGAGTTTTTGTCAATCTGGGTAAATTTCATTATTTCTTTAAATCAATCATGTTGAATTGTATCATGCATTGTATCGGGGGGGGGGGGGGGGGGGGGGGGGAATGCAAGTCCTCACCAGTATTTGTTTTAATTTTTGATTACTGATGTACAATTTTCTTTACTACATGAATTGTTTGTGTAACATTTTTTTTTTTTTTTTTTTTTACTTTTGCTGTTACATTTAAATTAATTCTATTTTAATAACATCCACTCTTTTCACAAACACTTATTAAAAACTACACTGAAGAGCCAAAACATTATGACAGCCTACTCAGTATTGTGTTGTGCAAACTTTGGCCTGCAAAACAGCTGCAACTCACCTTGGCATGGATGCCACAAGTTCTTGGTACATGACTGGAGACGGTTGTACCAAATGTGTAAGCAGCAGTCATGCAAAGTTAAGATATTCTAACATGGTGGTGTTTAAGTTCTGAGCTGCCACTCTATGACATCTCAAATGGGCTCTATTGGATTAAGATACTTTGATTTAGGTGGCCAGGATATTAATTCGAATTCTTCCTTATGCTGTTTTAACCACTCCAACCCAATCTGAGCCTTGTGACAAGGTGCATCATCCTCCTGGAAATTTCTATTTCTAGTTCGGAAGACAGACGCCATGTAAGGGTACAACTGATTGCAATTATGTTCGGAAAGTCCACAGCTTTCATGGTCTGTTCTACCACAACTAAGGGTCCCAGAGCCACTCATGAGAATGTGCCCCAAAGCATAATACCATCATCAGCTTGTATATGACCTGATGTACAAGGGGGGGGAAGCAACTGTTTGCCTGGAAGGTGGTGTACCTTGACACAATCATCAATGTGATAAATGAGGTTCATCTGACCAGGCAACTGTCTCTTACTTATCCATGATCCAGTCTTGATGTTCATGGGCACACTGTAGCCGTAGTTGACATTGACTCTTGGTCAACAGAGACACAAGAGTGGGACGTCTGCTGCACAGTTCCATATCCAACAATGTCTGCTGAACTGTGTATTCTGAAACACTTGTGCTTGGACCTGCAGCATACTGGCCTGTCGGCTGAGTCAGAGACAGTGTCTGATATCCTTTTTCTCTGATAACATGTGGATGTCCGACACTTAGCATCCACTGCTGGTTTCACTGTCATTTATCCACTTTGCATAAATGCTAATAATGGCAGATCGAGAACAACCTATCAGTCGTGCACTTTTGCAGATACTCGTTCTGAGTCTTCAGGCCATTACAATCTGCCCTCTATCAGATTACCTTAGATCAGCAGCCTTTCCCATCACTCACAAAAGTAAGTATAAGAATAATTCCTTGCCTACTAAAGGTGCAGTTAAGTACCATTCCGACTTAATTGCATGCCCTCCACATCATTCAGATGAGTTTATTGAAAAATGTGGGGATAGTCATAATGTTTTGGTTCGTCAGTGTATTAATTATAAAAATTATCATTTTAATATACATGTAAACATAACAAAATATTTACTAAAATGTAGCTTAATTATAATAATGTTGAGATTTATCAAAAACATAAATAAATAAATGCTGCCTTTTTATAAATATATATTAAATTTTTTCTCTCCAGTCTTTAAAATGTAACCATTCAGTTTATATGCGATAGAAACTGATATTGTTTCACCTTCTTAAATATGATTTTACTTGCATTAACAAGTCTATGTGGTCTTCTTTCAAACGATTTCTTTATTTGTTTTGTATTAAATTCATTAAACTGACACTTCATTCGCAGCCATAGCTAGGTTCCAGAAATGTTCCACAAGTATCCATTTTGAAATTTGGAAAATCATTCATCATGTAATGAAAACATTTATGTATTTGAAAAATTTGTTATCAATTTACTATTAATTTTTTCACACGTGGTAAATTTATTGTATCATTGTAGCAGAGCTTTTTTGTCTGTTAATATGTTACTGTAGTTTAAACATAATTTTTTGATTAGTTCTGTTCCTTAAATGAAATCACATGCACTTAATACTGTCGAATCAAAAGCTGCCCATTACTGTACTTCATTTTCAAGAAATTTTACTTTTAAATGGGAGCAGAGGAAATTTATAAAAGTTAGCTTAGAATTAGTGTCAGTTTCAATTTTTTTCTTCTCAAATTTATGAACAATTTTCGCTATGTTACTCCAAATAACACTGTTGTGGTTAATATACTGTTGTTTATTTTATCTCAAGTAAAGTGTACATCAAGTTGCATTAGATCACATTGCTGAAACATTTTATACAATGCTACAAGTTCTTCAAAAATATCTTTCATAACATTTGAATTTATTTGAAATTCAGTATTTTTCAATTTCTGTAAACAGTATTTTGAAATAGGATTTATTTCATCTTCGTTACAATATTTAATTAATGCTTCATAATTTTTAATAGTAATAGCTTTCATTACAAAATATCTAGATAATCACCTAACTTCATTTAATGGTTTAAAGGTAAGGGGTTCATTTTCTAAAGCAGTAACAATAACTTGAAGTGTATCTTACTTTCTTGCAGATCTAAAAAATTCAGTGTATATCATTTCTCATAAAGGTTTTAAAAGCTTTCGCGAATTTAACTTCTTAGAAGCACTGCAAATACTTGAATCGTCACAATGGGCAACACAGTCGTGTTGAACCAAATGTTATATATTTTCTTTTAGTTTTACTGCTTCTCCATTAATCTTACATAGCATAATAGCTACTCCATCAGAAATAAGCATAACTATTTTTTTAGTAAATCAATGTATTTTCTCTATGGAATTATATTTTATTGCAGAAGTAGCTGAAAAAACATCACAAGATTTTAATTGAATTATTCCACCAAAAAGTGTTCTATATAGGTTATTCTGTTGCATCTAAATTTTAAGAATAGTACTAAACATTTGGTGATAGAAATGTGAGTACCTTTGTTAACACTTGAAGTATGAAAATCAGATGCCTTGAATTCTTTTATCATGTCAGTTTTTACTTTGAATTAATGTTTTCTAAAAATGTGAAAGCATAATTCTTATTTTGCTGATTTTCTGGAATTTTAACATATTCTGCTATATGATTATTTATATCTTGGACAGAGTTCAACAAAATGCTATTTTTAAGTGCTAGTAATACATTATAAATTAATATTTTTACTTCTTCTCAAATGGAATTTTTTCTTTTGAGGTTCATCTGTCATCTCATTCAGGAAACATACTAGTCTTGCTGCCAATAGCAAGGAATTTTTGCTTTTTAATTTTGTTACATTGTCTATCTGAGATTTACCATTGAAATTGTATTTAAAAAAAAAAATCCGGTTTTCAATTATATGTCCATTTTTCTTTCCACTAAGAAAATCAATATTATGTCCATCATGACAGTAAATGCAAATAACTCCGTTTTCTATATCATGTAAAGATCTCTCCTTTATTGGATTTTGTAATTTATTTCTACTGTTTGGTTTGTGTCTGTGTCAACTGTTTTATTAAGTTGTTTGATTTTAAAATCGCTTGCTGTTTTTCTTCTTTCTATGAAGTTTCCAATGCTTTATATATAAATATATGAATATACAGTATAATGCATGAACACATGTATTTTTATCTACACTTGCAGACAACATACAACATGCTAGTAGCTCTTTAAAAACTGCATTTTTATTTATTCATAATAACCTCTCAAAAATATTCTCTTTTTACTCTAAAAGCATCACATTATTTTCCTAATTTAAGGGTTTTGTGTAACTTTTATGCCTTGTTCATTAGAAACATTCTTTTTTTTTAGATGTTCTGAATCTCCTGGACCAGGATTTGATGCATGTTCTTGCAGTGATTGTAAAGATGCATGTTCTGTTGCTGTCTTACAATCTCCAGACCTTCCACCAGTTTCTGAACCTTTTTCATTACTTAAAATTGATGGTGCAACACTTATTGCTGTCTTAATTTTTGTTCTATTATTTATAATCGTCACTTTCATTTTTTGCTGCATTAAGACTTCAGATCCAGTATGTGAGTATTAATCTGATGTCTAAATATCATGCACATATTTTTGTGATTAATGTTAAATTTTGAATACATGCCTCCTTTGAAATTTCGGTATTATTTATTTTACTGCGAATGTAATGTGTTAACTATACAATGTATAATTAATTTCTTGATTGCAGTGTCACAAGCTATACCATTGCAAACAAGCAATGGTTTGCCATCTGGTGTGAACCTTGGTTCGCTAGAAGAAATTAAACCTTTGCGGTCTAAATCTAGTAAGTTTTGTGATCTCTTTCTTTTAGTGTAATTTCTATAAAGTATTCTTATTTTCATTTTTTAAATTTTAACTGTAATTATTTTATTTAATTATTTATTTATTTTTGTTTATCAAGATATAATAATATAAATTACAGAATATTTAGTTGTATAATTTCAACTTTATATGTTTTAAAACTATTATATTTCGGTTTAAAGATATTTTTACATGTATAAAAACAAACTGAAATTTTTTTTTAAAAATTTATGGAGGAAATTTTTATATACTGTCATTTTTGGTATAAACGTAGTCCAAATTTGACAGCATTTGCATTAATGACATTTTTTAATATTTTTAGATTTTTCGGGGGTGAGGGGGATATTCTTTGCAGAAACTGGTCTAGTGGTAGGATGTTTTTATGATCTTTCCAATGACTAAAGCAAATATGACTATACATTATTCTCTTCGTAAAGATAGACCTTCCAAAGCTAATAGAACATCTATCTATTTGCAACATATTCTTATACCCATAGAATTACTAAAACTACTCTGGGAAATAAACTTTATTGAATCTGTGTAATTTTTTCTGATAATTGGTTATTTTTCTTTACCAGTTTATGTAATTTTTGTTCAAAGAAATATATTCAGAATATATATTAATTATTTAAGCATAAAAACTCTCCCATTTTGAGAGGAGGTAGTAAAAGTTAATGCATATTTTCTTATTAAAATGCCAATCAAGTGATAATATAAACATCTGTTAACTTAGTGAGCAAATGAAGAAGTTCAATGAAAAAATTAGCAGAATAAACATACATTTTAGCACTGTCATTGTTCCTACTAGTAACATTTGCAACAGAAGTTATGTGTGCAAAAGTTGCTGTGTGCAAAAGTTGAACCATTTGATTGAAAGACTGAGAGTGGAGCTTTGTAGTATTTCCGTGCCGTTGACAGGAACAGATTTGGAACTTTAGTCATTTACAATTTTTGAAAAAGTGAGCTTAAATATTTTCCATTAATATGAATGTTTTTGAAGCATCAAAAGTTGTTCTTCATAGCAACTTCATGAAGGAAATGGAGAAGTTTGTGATAGCATTCCATTATTGGGAAGAAAATCGTCACTTCCAGTTTTTAACTTGCATCCAAAATTTTGCTCTATTGCAGCAACATTAATGAGTTAGCTCATTCCTCTCACAGGTTCAGAATTGTCTGAAATCCCTATTTGTGTTTCAATCAAATGCTATAATTTTCATGCTCTGCAGTATAACTTCTAAGTGTTAGCCGTAAAAACTTCACTTAAATGAAATGCAGTCAGTAATATATTTTATGTAATAAATGTAAAATATATTGCTAACTCTAATTTCTTCATTTTTACTTAAAATTTTTTCATGTCTATTTCATAGCAACCTCCTTGTACAGCAGGAAGTTATGTTCTTCTAACAATCTAATACTAAAAGTTTCTTACTTTCTCTTTTTCCTTATGCATACTCATTACTTAAGATTTTGGTTTTGTTGTACTATTTAAAAGTATATTAATTTTTGCCTTTTTTAACCATATATATTATATAATGAAACTTGTTAGAAATTTTTCTTTACTTCTAAATTAAATTAAGAGTTTGCCTTAGCAGACTAATTTATCACTTAATTGATGTGCAGATTCTAAGGTGAATTTGAAATTTTTACATCTGATATTAAAATTCTTTTCATACAAAACAGCTAGACTATTTAAAAGATGTCTCATTTTCTGTTCTGTATTACTTATTATTGTGTATTATGTTTAAATAACTGAGCTGAACTAAAAATTATAATGTTTCTGTTTAATTATCTAGCTTTGGGTTTTATGCCTCATTCCCCAAAAAACTATATTAGCAATTTTTTAAATATTATTTTTATGTTTTCAGATTCTGGAGCTATTTCTGAAAGAGAAAGAAGGAGATTATCTAAAAAACTTCACAAAGAACCGTCCAAGTTCCAGAAGTTGGGGGGTTGGCTGGAAGAGTATATAGAAAAGAAATTTGTTTTATGGGGGGAATTGGTCTCGAGAACACCCATTACAATTATGATTATCTCTCTATGTGTCTGTCTGATTCTTTCCTCAGGCCTCATATTCAGTTTTGATGTAACCACAAATCCAGTTGACCTTTGGGTATCTCCTCATAGTCAAGCAAGACAAGACATGGAATATTTTAATATTCATTTTGGGTTAGTTTATGCAACTATTTTTCTTTCTATGTTATTTTAATTATGGTCTTGTCAGATGTGAAACACTGCCCCAAATCCTGAAATGGGAGAGGGAATTTTAGTTGTATGGTATTCAGAATAGGAAATTTCAAGTGCTTTAAAATTTATGCTAAGCATTCATAGGTATACTGACTTAACAAATCAACAAGCACACCTAAAAATATTAATAGGTGCATTATTTTGACATATGAGCATTTTACAATATATTAAAAAATCTTTAAAGTTGCAAAGTGATGGAGTAACAAAAATTTCACAAAATCATGTACACATAAATTTTACCAAAATACTTTTGTAAAAAGTAGCAAATTTACAAAAAATCGCATGATCTGCCAACAGTGCAAATGAGTGTCTTACATGTATATTCAAATCTTGTTTAGGTTACAATATGACAAAATATTAGAATAGTTCTAGCTGTGATATTTTTCAAAGCGAGGTAATCCATGATACAGGTTTTCCATAGTGAGTTTTGTGCTGAATTTAGTGACAATTACAGACAACTCATTTACATGTTTGGTAGCTTTTGTTGATTTTAATATATATTACTTTCATTAGGAACTGCTGTATTATAATGCTAAAACTCAACTTATGTATACCATTTTAATGATTTTCTCAATGTAGTAGTGTGAAAGCAGCTAATCAGATATGTTCACACTACACATATATTTATTTTAATCCAGAATAAAATTTGGTTTGGTGACAGATTCACCTGTTTGATTATTTTTTCAGATAAGTTATTTAAGAAGCCACATGCAAACTCTTCAATAATATAAAAAGAAACAATGTGTAGGATGATACATCTTATTGCTATACTTAGCAACTATTCCTGGCAGACAAAGTTCGACCATAGTGATGAATGTATTAAATAGAAAAATTTTTTGAAAACTTTGCATGCAAAAATCATGCTATTATTTATGTGAAATAGTCATATCAAATATATTACTGTTACTGCAGGACTCATATTTATAATCTATGTTTGTTTATCACTTTTTGAGTCCTATTGATGTAAATAATTTTTATTTTTCATAAAACAAGAAAGCCCTCAAACCTTTTAAGACTACAACTTACATATATATATTCAGATATTTTATACTAATACTGACTACTTACATTTAACTGCTTTTTTAATCTTGAGTTGTTAAGCAGTGACCAAGTGTATGAGTATTAATACCTAGTTTAATTCCAGTGATTCATCATGGATTTGAATGCCAGTGATTTTTCTGGCTGAATGAATATTTTTTGTAATTTTTCATGTGCGTAACATAAATATGAGTTAATTTCCTCTAAAAGTCTTTCATGTAGACATCCATCTTCTTTGGCAAATAGGCTTCAAGTGCTTACCTATTTAATTTAATCAACAAATAAAACTTCCAAATATTGTATCCTTATTCTTTATTTGTAGTTTCTAAATAAAGTTATTTATTTATATCCTCATTTAGTAGAATTAATCAATGAAATTGCTAAATAAATATTTTGCAATTTTTGCATTCATAATATTTTCATATCTGAAAACAGAAGAATGTGCTTTTCAATGCAAATAATGTAAATGAAAATATAAAATAAGGATAAATCATTTATGTTTCATATTAAGCCTGAAAAATTTGATTACATGCATGCAGATTAAATGCATTAATTGCCCTCAATTTAAGAATCTATCTAAAGCAGTAAAATATCATAACTTGCATTCTTGTTGTTTTGTCCATGTATGGAAGAATGGTTGCCAGAGCCTCAAGGAGGTTGGACTTCTACTTTCATCCCAGTTTTGAGGAAGAGTGCCCCAAGGGGTGGTCTGAGGGTCTCCCCCCCCTCTCTATCAAAAAATTACAGAGGACTTTTGGCTAGCCATAAGAGTGCTCCTATGCTGCGAAGACACTATACATTTACGAGCATCCATGTTTTCTCTGGGATTCGAACCTGCACCCTTTGATACCGCAGTAGGCTCCTCTAACTACTATACCATCTGGGAAACATCATAGCTTATAAGAAGAAAAATATACCAGGAATTTTTGTAAATACTCCAGAAGATTAAAAAAAAAAAAAAAAAATCTTCCATAGTGTAATGTACTTAGATATATAAAGAATATAAAGACTATATTATAAAACATAATGTGCCATATCTTAGCATGTAAAAATTATGTTATTATTTATGCTACACTAACTTCTGGTCATAAAGAGTATACCATATATACTTGAAAATAAGAATTTTATTTTAAGAAATAAAAATGTCGGCTAATATTTCATGAGAGTATGGTTTTGATTAGAATTTATTTATTTCTTATTAGAATGAAAAGCAAGCTGTCTAAAATAGAATATTTTACTATAGCATGGAAAAAAAAAGTTTAGGGGAAATTTAATGATAAATTGCATATTTGTTTTCAAGCATACCAGCGGGGTACAGGCCTAAATTGGAATCGCTCAAGTAGACATTGGCATTTTAATTAGTGGTAGTAATGCAGTTTTATATATATAGATATATATATTTAGTATTTAAACAGGATACTTATTATGTATCGTATTATAATTTAAATTTTCCTTTTATCCTGCAGTATTATTTATTAAAATGCCTGATCAAAAGACCCTACCAAATTAAAAATATAGAGAAAGAGAGAGAGAAAAAAAGAAAAGAAAAAAAAAATTTTTTTGAATAAATGCAATAGATTAAAATTTATTAATAAGTGTATTGGGTTATTGAATACATAATATATTCATGTTAAAATGTGCTTAAATTATATTTAATTTTTTTTTTCATTTTTTTGTTATGAAAACTATTCTATTATAATTTATGCCATTGTAAATCTAGTGTATTATGCAGTATTCATACCAGAAGTAAAAGATATTAAAGAATAAACTGTATTCAAATAAGTTAAGCATTTTCTTTGGATAAGAAATTGTAGCTTGGTATAAATCTTCTTGGAAATGAAGTAATATGCTTTTTTGAATACAGTTATTTTCTTTTTTTATGCAGTTTTGTGATATAATAGTTTTTATCATATGAATCTTTTTTATAATATTATTTTTATTTTGCAGGCCATTTTATAGAATTGAACAAATTATCATCACACCAGTCAATCAAAATAGTTTTCAGCATCTTGCAGTCATAAATCATGAAATAATGAATGTTACTTGGGGTCCAGTCTTTGAGCAAGAGTTTTTATTAGCCGTAAGGCCAGATTTTGCCTATTAGAATTTCATTTTATATTTTAAAGCTGCTTTTGATATTTTTTCTAAAGACCTTATCGGGCTCTTTTCACTTTACATTTTATTATTTTTTTTTCACAGTTTCTCAAAGCAGTATGTATTTTTATGACAGCTGATATTATCTTTGCTTTTAATGTTTAGGCTTTAGATCTCCAACTTCAAATTCAGAATCTGACAGCTTCTTTAGGTAACTCGACAATACAGCTTAAAGATGTATGTTTAGCTCCTCTGAAACCTCTCAATGCAGAATGTGCTATTCAAAGTGTGTTTGGATTTTTTCAGTCAAATGCTGATCGCCTGCAGGACAAAATGAGATATCTCTCCCATTTCAAAAGTTGTTCTTTGTAAGTCTTTTCTTTTTTAGATTTATATATTTCATGATGAATTTTCTTCTAAATCATTTCAATTCATAAAACTCATAAACTGTAATTTATCTTAATGTTTCTTCCCCCTCCTTTTTTTAAAACAGAAACCCTCAAGATCCTAAGTGTTTTGCACCTTATGGAGGTCCACTTGATTCTGTTGATGTAGTTCTTGGAGGGTTTCAGAATTCTGAGTATGAGACAGCTCAGGCTCTAGTAATCACTATTCCTCTCCCCAATTTCTATGATGCTAATAAAAATTTAAATTCAAGACTTTGGGAATCTGAGTGAGTGAAATTCTACTTGTTTCTAAGCATTTTATATTTATATATCAGAATATTGTCATCTTTCATGCACAATTTTTAAATGTAGAAATCTTAGTTTTATCTCACTTCTACCCATGTAAAGGTTAGCACAGTAGATAGCGCTTTGTATTGTAGAGGATAGGATCAACTGCTCAAACCCACGTAACAACATTTTTATATTTTTCATCTCCCTCACATAAAAGGTAATTTTTGCATCATCCAATTTCTGTCCTGCATCATTCACCAGTAATTATATTTGTTCCTGCATCCTTAATGTTTGCAATTCATTTTTTAAAGATTCGAAATCTCTGAAATTCTGACTCAAAACACGAGCTTCACTCAGGATACTGATTCAGATTTCTGAAATGTTCTCCCATGTCCTATGATCTAAGGCTTATTTCTGATCATATATGTAATTGTATTTAGAAGTACCTAATTTTATTTTCTCAAATTTAATTAATTAATTAATTTAATAATCTGCAACAGTGTTTAATTTGTTCCATACTGTGAAGTGGCTAGTATAAATTCCAGGATTGCCAACTGTAATTTAAATAAAGTATCCAAAAAATGAAACAAATTTAAAAAGAGGAACTTTAATGGAAACCGTAAATATGGGATGAGATAATAAAAATGCATTAAGAAATAAATGTGAAATAAGGTTAATTGATTTATGTGCATTGCAGAAACAGCATTAATTTAAAGCAAATTGGAAACATAAACACTTTTGAGAAACAATATAAGTCCATTTCCACATATGTCCACATAAGTCCCAACTTTAATAAATTCCCACATGTCTGAACTTATCTGAATAACAAATCAGCAATTTTTAATCCAAACACTATTAAACAGTTTTCTTTTAGCCCTTGAATATTGCTTTAAAATTAATTTTTTTCATAAGGAAAGAAATTTTTGTTAAATTTATCATTGTCAACACAGCACACACATTTCTCAGCAGTTGCCTATGCGTGGCTGAAGTTTGTATTCGTAGCCGTACAATGAAGGTTTTAATGCTGAAGAAATGGCTAGTATGCGTGTGTGAAGCATAAGCTGTGCTAAAGTGAGATGCTATTCCACCACCAGCACTGAGATAGATGGTGGTATTATTCGCTGGTGTAATGCATATACAACTATTAGTTGGTTGTCTTATAAATACATATAAAATTCTGGGTTGCCTATTTTGGTAACATAGTGCTTTGCCTAGTGATTCTTTTCTGGGTTTGGCAGATAATCTTAGAATACTGAAAAATGTTTCATTTCATATCTGTTGTTCAGTTCTTTTTTAATATTATGATTTAGATGTGAACTAAATTTTAATTAAAGCAATTTCAGAAACCTTTACTTCCATTATAGTGTCAAATGCTTACCTCCTCTGTGGGGAAATTTATTATTTAGAAGAGGAAATTCCTGTGATGAAATTTTTTCCAGTTTCCTCAAATTGTCCTTTTTATCTGTACATTATCATTAAATTAATCAGATGAGAGAAAAAAGATTGAATATAAAAAAGCAAACAACTCCTGAAGATCATGTTTTCATCCTCCCCAACAGTAGTTTTATCGGGCTTTGATTAAGCATTGCAAGAGTTGGTCTGAAATAGGATTAACAGAATCTAAAACTGCTCTTCAGTAATTTTCGTTGGTTAAATAAGCTTATTGTATAAAACAAATTCCTGAATCCCTTGTAATTATAAATATTCAAGCCTTCAAAATATAGCTGCGCAATATAAAAATTATGTAAGTTAGAGTTGTGAAAGGTAACGTTCTATTGTAAATTAATAACAATAATTATAAATACTGATCATAACATATCCTTTGACTTTAAACTTTTGTGCAAATAATGTGACTCTAAAATATTTTTCGTTTTTAATTTTAGATTTCTTGACTTCATGCATAATTTTTCACATCCACTGATGAATATTGCTTTTAAAGCAGAGGTGAGTTTTTTTGGGGCATATCTGTGAACAATTTTATTTGAACTTGATAAATAGCTTAATATTAACCAGGTATAAGTTTGCTTGCGTGCATGTGTGTACCATTTAAAAATATATATCAAGAATATAAAGATGAGATACTTTGCAAAAGTATATATAAACAGCATTGCTAATGATACTTTATTATTAAAATCATAACACTTGGCCCCTTCTTTTTTTATATATTTCTTCACCGCCATGTGTCACTAGTTTGGTTTCGGTTCTCTCATGGTAGGAATTATCTTTATAACCATCATTCATGCAACTATGTTTTTTTCCCTCCTAATCAGTTTTTTTCTTTCTTTTAATGCAATGGGTTTCATAACTTGCATTTTGCCAGGTGATGAACAAGTAGCTATTCTGATTCTTCAAAAAGCCAAAGAATAGAAATTTTGAAGCAGATATTCTTTGAAGGGAAATGTTATGTTCAAATTTCCACTTCAGGAATTAAAATGGTTATGCAGCTTTTGCTAATGCTATGAAAATAAGGGGTCTGAATGCAAGTATGGAGTGTTGGATCATATATTCCTTTCTTTACTACCATACAATTCATTTGATGTTTGTTGGTAACATCTGTGAACCAAAGCTTGCTTCAAATGCGTAATGTTTGACAGGAATGTGAAGTATAAGCCAATTCCTTTTGATTTCATCTTAAGGTTAAAATTGATAAAAGCAACAAAATTGTTAAAATTGATGAAAACTTTTTCACAAAATAACAACAACAAAACAAAAACAAAACAAAACAAAAAGAAAAAAAAATATATCATCTTCTTCCCCCACAATGGCTTTGGGAGAATTTTGCTATGAATGCTCCTTGTTGCTGTTCCTAGTCATTCCATTTCTCCTTCACCTAAAATTGAGCTAAAGGTGTAAAAGAAATACACCAAAATGCTCTAATCTGGCACTGAAGATACATGGTGTGTCTGCAATAAAAAAGTACTGCTATAATTAAATGTGTAAATATTTTCAAATGTATAGTAAATTTGCTATGAATGCTCCTTGTTGCTGTTCCCAGTCATTCCATTTCTCCTTCACCTAAAATTGAGCTAAAGGTGTAAAAGAAATACACCAAAATGCTCTAATCTGGCACTGAAGATACATGGTGTGTCTGTAATAAAAAAGTACTGCTATAATTAAATGTGTAAATATTTTCAAATGTAGAGTAATATTTTTGTACAACGGTGCAGATGTTTTTGTAGTAGTACACTTTTTTTAGTAGTATAGTTTACATTGTAAAGATTTTTAAGTAGTATAATTTACATTGTAAAGATTATTAAGTAGTAGATTGGTATAGAAAATTAATATGCAGTCACCCTGAAAAAACTTTAAATAAAAGGGCTAACTAAATGATTTTGAAAGTGTTGTATATAATTTGAAAATGCTGTTCAATATCTGAATTCCTTCAAGATTTCAAAAAATCAGTTTTACTTCAAGTATTATAATATAACGGTTTTAAATGTATTCTCATGATCCTGCTCTTTGGCCAATTTAACCTGAGAAAGTCTGCCTGGTCATTACCTACATTATTATTATGGCCTTTGCTCCTAGAGATGGAAATGTTTTTTGGTAAGTTTTTGGATGACTACTTGATTTCAAATGTATGGCGGATGGATTATCTTGGATTTAATATGGAGAATATGACTACTTGGCTCTTGGATTTTATATTTAGAATTTGTACATTATGAAGATTGGCTAATTGCATTGCTGCTTTAATTGCACATAATACAGCTTGATGGATGCTGTTAACTGAGTTGAGGTGGCCTTTCCAGTTTATTGAATTCCGAGCAGGAATGTGAACTGCACAACTGACTTTTTCTTGAATCTTTGAGCTGTCAGTATGAGTGATTATTGCATCCATGAGGTGAGGATATTATTCTTCATGAATTTAATTATGGTGTGAGGTTCGGCTGGATGTCCACTGTTAGGTAGAGGATGGGATTCATATTCTTCTGAAGTAAAAAATCTGGTCTTCAAACGAGATATTGCTTTTGAGTTGTAGGACTGTAGAGTAAACGGCTTTATGAATTCCTGTAGGTGGAGAGGAGTGGTGCCAGCAAGGATATTTAATGCTGCATTTGATGTTGTGTGATAGCTGCAGGTGATGCACAGGTTGAAATGTATGTGAATAGAAATCAGAACTTGCTTTTTCCTTTTGGAAAGGCCCATATGGGGCTCTTTGTGTTACCATTGTCAGTATCACTGTCAAAATGAGTATTTGGGTAATGTGTGAGTTGAGGTCTCTATTGTATCCATGGAATCTTCTGAGGTTGGAGTGAATTTTGTTCATTTTTTTTTTATTTCCTTCAGATGGTTGTTGTAATTTTGTTTGTGATCAGTATGAATTCAGAAGTATTTTATGATTTTGATATTCTTGATGTGGCCTCTATTGATTGAGTGATAGTTGCTTTATAATATTTTGTCTGAGCTTATGAATTATCATGACTTGAGACTTTGGATTTCTGTTCAGATCGCAACTGTACATAAGAATCACCATAACCGTCATACTGCAAGAACTTTTGATGGTGACCATAATGATACAATTTCTTCAACTGGCATTTCCATTTTGGCTCATATGTTCTGGCGCATGTCTCATTTGGTTTAACTATATGGTGTATAAAAATATCTCCTTTATTTCATATTATATCTCAAGTAAGTTGAGCGTGAAAGAAACCCTGCCCTCAAATATGAGCAGCATCTTATTATAGCTATTTTCTTATACCCAGCTATTATAACCACTGTTCCTGGTTAGTAAATGTCGTAGCTACCCAACTTGCCAGCTGTTATTCACATCAGAGTATGCATACGTAACACTGAAAGAGTGTTCATTTATTCTGAGTTAAATATGTCAGTTATGAGAAAGTTAGATATCAAGCTAACTTCGTATAAATGAGAAGCAGTGTTTCATTTCATGGTACACATATAGCTTTATTGCCATTATTAAAATTCTTAATTTAACATAATTTATAACAGGAGATCTGAATGTTGAGTTATTTCTCATTTATTTATTAAATTCGTGTAAAAAGTGATAGCTTAGCGACAGATAGATTGCCTGTTGATGACCAGATTTCTCCTAAAAAATTCTTAATCTGAATGCACATTTTATTTATTTATTTATTTATTTTTTTGGAAAGAAGGGGTAGTGAGGATTCTTTTACCATTCTAGCTGCACACTTCATAAAATGCTTCATTCCATTAATTATTCTTTACTGTTCAGAGTAAAACACTGTATCATTTTCAACATTTATTCAAATAATTTTTAGTGTTTCTACTAGTTTTAGCATTCTGCTATATGGAAAAGATATCAATATTTCTAGGTTTTTGCACTCAAAGAAATTAATAAGAATATTCTTTATTCCAAATAAAACATTAGGGACTCAGCTTTTTCCATATTCTAAATTTCTAATTCACCAAATTATTTAATTCCCTTCCCTCCCATATAGTTTAGAGTAAATTAATGTTTTTTATGCATACAATAAGAATCAGCATGATTCAGAATTATTTAGGGGAGAGGAGGATGAATGCAAGATTTTTCCTGAACTTGCTGCTGTAATTTTGTGAATCAACTCTGATTTAGGAATTATATAACATCATGCATTTAGAATAAAGCCAGTAAAGAAATATGAAGAAGAAAACTGGGAATTTCATACCTAATGACTGAACTGGCTCTTTCTATGTGAATTTTATGATTTCCTGAATATGTAACATAAATAATTTTTCTGTCAGTCTTATGTAAAAGTATTCCTCCCCCCTTAGGCAGATAGTCTATATGTGGTTTGCTATTGATATCCCCCCAATGGTGGAACACTTGTTGCTTAAGACATGGTTGTGAATGGGCAAATTCATTAATTGTTTGTCTCATCACTGAGTACATTGGGGATAGTGCAGTATGGGAGTTAGACCGGTATTCCATCCATGGGAAGAGCAAGAGACACATACAGACATCTATGCCTTCTATGCGATTCGAACTGTAGTCTGAGGTTATGGCTACTAGACCATCATGCCAACAGGGGTGGCACTTTGCCATGGTTAGCATGTTAATCAATCAGTATTCAATTTTTTAAAAGTTAAATAAGGTAATTATTCTTGAATTTATTTTTGGCATTATTTAAAAGTCAATGTAAGAAACAATAATATAATTTCTTTGAAAGCCTTCCAATTATTTTCCAATGTAATAATTTAAATAACAGCAATGAAAGGTAACTCTGTTTCTTATTAAACTCTTCAAATAAAGTTAGATATCAATCTAGAATCTCTTAATCCTGTGGGTAACAGGAAATAATGCGACTGTAAAATAGCTGAATTAGATTTTTCAAAATGAAAATTTACATACATATAGGTATGGTTTAAGTAGGAGACAGATAATTGTTTTCTAATTTAATTTGTATTATGTGATTACAAAAATTTTTATACTTTTAATCTCTATGATTTTTATATGAAACTTATTATGATTAACATCAATAACTTAAACGTATTATGATTAACATTAATTTAAACATGATTTTTATGGTGCACTGTTGATCTATTTCTTTCTTTATTAGAAATCAGTACAAGATGAAATAGAAAGAGGAAGTCATTCTGATCTTTTTACAGTAGCCATCAGTTATATATTGATGTTCTTTTACATCACCATCTCTCTTGGAGAATATCATGAGTGCAAAACATTATTTGTAAGTTATCTTAGATTGTACTGAAACTAGATAATATGAATTCTTGTGGGAAATGTCATTAAGTCATCTTTGTGTTGCAACTGTGATATATTAAATGGAAAAAGGGAATTTATGTATTTAATTTTATTTTTTAAGATGTTTTAAATGCAGGTTTAGTATGGAATTGATGTCATCTAATTAATAAAAGGAAGTAAATAAAATTTTCATTATCATTTGTAGTATTAGAAACTTTTTTTGGCATTGCCTGAAGTAATTCTAAACGTATGCAGTCATGATTAGAAAGTAAATGTAAAAATTTGAACCGAGAATTAAAGTTATATTTAATGATGACTGCATTTCTTAATATTGCCTTTGTGAATGTGGTCAATAGTCTGTTAAATTTAATAATAGTAATAATAATTATAAAATTCCTTATAGTCTTTGTATCTCAAGATGGAATTTGAATTTTTTGCACAATAATTGGTTTTTATATTGGATATTAATTATGAGTTTATCATTAATAAAAATAGTTAAGCTTGTGATATATAATTAATGGTTGTTAAATTATTATTAACATTATAAAAGTTTGTGCTGCATTCTTCATAGAGAAAAAAATTAATGAATCCATTTACTGAAATCATTTAAAAAATTAAACACTTAATAGTGAAATGAAGAAGAAGCATGTCGGTGTAAAATTTAAATTAGCAAGCAACCCTACTTGTCAACATTTTAGTTTGGCCAAACTAAAAGAGCACTAAAATTTTACAAGCTGTATTTTCTTGAAGCTTTTCATATTCATGAAGATTTGTCTTCGGTTAATGACATTAATTCCAATCATGTCCGTCCTAACACTTTCAGAATTGAAGGGCTTTCAACAAGAAGGGCCCAGTTCCACATTTTTAAATTTTCAGAAAATTTTTTAAAAAATTCAAAAAAAATTTTTAAATTTGTAGTTTAAATGTTTATGCTCATTAAAAGTGCTAGTAAAAATGATTTTTTGCAGCTATTCCAATGGCTTTTTACTCCAATGCAAAAAAACTATTTTTTTTAAACAACAAACAACAACAAAAAAAAAAAAAAAAAAAAAAAAAAAAAAAAAAACAAAACAAAAACAAAAAAAAAACCAAAGTCGAGCATACAAAGATTATAATGACTTTTTTGCTGCAAGCCTTTCGGTTCTAATATCTCAGTTTTCATGCTTCATTGCTGTTTTCCTCAATAGATGGTACTACATTCATACCCATTTTGCTTTCCACATTGATTTTGGTATAAAAGCAGTTGTCATTGCCCCCCATTTTGCAAAATTTTCTTTTAGTTATGAAGAAAAGGGCTTATATCTGATCACTCTCACTAAAATTTTATTCATCTATAAAGTTTTCAATTTGAAGTTATTCACGTTATTTGAAATCATGCAGTTTTATTCAAAATCTATGCCTAGGCTGCTTTTTTTGCCAAGTTTTAAATAAGATAGTCAATATCATGAATAATCCATGGAGAAAATTATGCTTATTTGTGTTCTCTGTGTTTTGTTATTTTTATTTGAAACATATTTGGCAGTGTATTTGTTTCATGACATTTTTATTGGATGCAGGTACCTGTGATTGCCTTTAATTACCAAAGTACCAAACTTATAATAAATGATGAATTTTGTTTAGAGATTTTTTTTATGAAATAACAGTGATATTCATTGTGTCAAAATTTAGCTGTGTAGTTACTTCCTTATTATTACACCTCTTGTTTTGTAAACGACCATAAGATTGTGAAGAAATCACCATGGCAAACCATTATCAAATGGCACCAGCAGTTCTAATCAGGGTCATTTATAATTCGCCCATGATAAGAAGAGCTCCAAGTGAATCACATGTTATTGCATTTTATTTTTTCATATAAATTTAAATAATTTATGATCACTCATAATTCTGGCATCATGAAAAGAGCTTCGAGTATTCCATGTGTTAACATATTTCTTTTTTCAAATAAAAGTCAAAAATATTTAATTTATCAAGAAATGATCAAAATGCATTATCTTTCTTCCAAAAAGGATGCATTTTACCTCGCATTTGAATATGTGACAAGGAACATTAAATTAAATTACATATCAGTAAAAGCATTTTAGTTGCACTGTGTAAAGTTGCTTGTGAAGGAAACACACATGTTTTGGTAAGTGGTTCAATTGTTTCAAAATACTATTCATAATAGCACATCAGTTTACTTACTCTTGAGCAGAGGAACTGATATCCATTAAGTGATGAGAGAAATAATTCACCTTTTGCAAAAATACTACTACTGACTGAAACAGCTTATGAGAGAAGTGTATTCTCTACGTCTGATTTGACAACCAAATAAGCAAATGTCTATCCCTGAAAAAAATTGTTTGCATAAATGAAAGTCTGTTTATGTGGGGAAAATCAAAACTAACAGAGTAGAATTGGGTATTTGGTAGTTTATGTTGAGAAACTGGTAAATTCTTTCTCAGGTAGTTTCTGAACAGAGAGGCAGCCACATTCAACTGACACTAGGTATCGGTAATTTATTCAGACTGTTAGCAAGCATATAAAACAGAGGAACTGGAGAAAGTGTGTTAGAGATATTTTGCTACGAATCATAAATTTTGGCATAATTCGCAGACACAGTAAGAACATTGCATTGGAATTGTTGATCTGTATACAAAATGCAGAATGGTTGTGACACTGCCTAATTGACAGACTAAAAATCAACAAGGTTAATGTTATATTAAAAACGATCGCTGAAACCACAGCCACTAAGTGTGAGAAGTAAACACGAACTTGCCAATAATCTTGACACATGCTTCTTAAATAGTAAATAGGGAGGATCTGAAGATCTCCACGTACTCTCGAGACTCTCCACGCTACAACTCGCGATGCATTCGACGACACAGCTCCTGACTCTTCGGTTCAGTCATTCCCAGAGCTCAACACGCTTTCTTGACGATGCGCTAACTGCAATACACTACGAGACTCTTTTGGTGCACTCAGCGACCCACTCGGCAGTCAACTCAATCGACTCCACAGGGATTGACTCGCTAGACGAGACACCAACTCGATACTAACTAGCTCGCACTCTCGAGGCACACACACTCTCGATATTGATTGACTGCAGATTAGTAGGGTTTATATAGCTTTCGGCTTGTGTTCGAGAACATTCTGGGCTAAATCGGTAAGAATTCATTCCAGAAGCTTCTCTATCACTCCATGGCATATCACCAGTTTTGTCACCAAATGGGCGATTTCTCGCCCAATGTGACAACCCTGCCTTCCTTTGCCATTTTATGGCAAGCCTAAAACGGCTTTGTGGGGAAGCCATCTTATCGCGCCTGTACATTTCATAGCACTGCTCCCTCCCAAGGACTGCACATCCCGGGCAGTACAACCCTTGGTCGGAAGCCAAATTCGATACAATCCAAATGTTTTAAAAACATACAGGTAACATAACTAAAGAAACGAACATTTACATCACAAACAAACTTTACACAGAAACTAGGTAAGAAAACTCATGTGCAAGAATTATGGGTACCCCTAAAAATGAGATGCAAATGTTTACACTATGTACAAGTTATATACACAAATTAAACACATCACAATTTTAAATTATATACAAATTAAAGTTAAGAATGAATTTCAGTCTCAGTCTTTTCATTATTTATACCCAGGTCAAATACTTTTCCACTGCAGTTCTCAGATGCATTTCTGTTTTTCATGTCACAGTCTGAAAATTCAGTCCTTTCAGACGTTTCATGTACTGGAAGATCTAAAACAGTTCGTTCACCACTCTGTGGATCATTTGCAGCATGCGTATAGTTCACCTTGATATCTTTAGCAGATGGTACACACTTATTTTCCAGCGTTTCCTGGAAACCAGCTCCAATATTTGCACCAAGGTCGCGTATAGAATCCGATCCTTTACAAGCAGAAGTATCCGGGTTTAAAATCAAGTTCTTGTCTGCAAAATCTGCACTATGAGACTCACACATAGTTTGCGAAATGAGTGAATTTTCTCACAATACTTGAGCACTCTGCGTAAGTTGTACATCAGCTTCTTCCATCTCAGCATCACATGAACTTTCAGATGTTTCAATACTTGATAACTGCGGCTTCGTAATTTCACTATCAGTTTTGACGAACGTAACAGTCGCATTTTCATTTTGTTGCACTTCAAGCACTTGAGAATCAAAAGCTTCTTTCCTGTCTTTTATTTTCCTCATGTTTTCATTCTTTTTCTTTAATCCCGTTAGATGTTTCATCCTTAATTTCTTGATCTTTCTCAGACAATTCATTAGCTACTTCCTTCTTTTCTTCATCCTTTGATTCTTCAGATGCCACTTCTCTCATTTCCACATTGTCTTTTATGCCTCCAGTTTCTTCTGTAAGCTCCACTTTTAGCTGTTGGAGTTGCTCTCGCACATTTTCTTGGCCGCCATTTATCTCTTCTCGTCGGCCTTTCTTCTCTTCTAGTCCGGCTTTGATCTCAGCTATCATCTCTTCATATCGAGCTTTTATCTCTTTACATCCAGCTTTTATCTCATCATATCCGGCTTTTATCTTGGCATATCCGGCTTTTATCTGAGCATATCCGGCTTTCAACTTCTCCTGTCCAGCTTCATCTTTTCTTGGAATTCAGCAAAGGCAGTCACGAGCTGTCTTAATAGATCTTCCATTGGTCTTGTCACTGCCATTCACCCTCAAACCCCACTTCTGCCACCAATAGTTGCATTTTTTCTTCTGACACCAGTTGTTACATTATTTTCTTCCTTCACATTCATACGAGGTTTGTGAGGATTTGGAGTGAAATGACAGTACTACTTGATGAAGTATCGAAACACACTTTATTGGCCGGTATTGTCAGGACAGCTCCAAAACACGTTTTTACAGTCGTCGATGAACTACTATAAACACGCTGACATGATCAGCGGCACAGCCTCCAAATTATCAGGCTATCACGGTGGAGACAGCTTCATTGCAAAGTGCCAGAGTACAGTTCCCGCCTCTGCTCGGTCGTTTTCGAAACTCCACGTACTCTCGAGACTCTCCATGCTTTAACTCGCGATGCACTCGACAACATGCAGAGCACAGCTCCCGACTCTTCGATTCAGTCGTTCCCGGAGCTCAACACGCTCTCTCGATGATGTACTAACCGCGATACACTACAAGACTCTTTCAGTGCACTCGACGACCCACTCGGCACTCGCTGCCTGGCTGTCAATCGATCGACTCCACAGGGATTGACTCGCTAGACGAGACACCAACTCGATACTAACTATCTCGCACTCTCGAGGCACACAGACTCTCGATACTGACTGACTGCTGACCATCAGGGTTTATATAGCTTTTGGCTTGTGTTCAAGAATTTGGGGTTAACCAGTAAGAATTCGTTCCAGAAGGTTCTCCATCAGTCCATGGCATATTGCCAATTTTGTCGCCAAATGAACGATTTCTTGCCTAATGTGGCAACCCTGCCTTCCCTTGCCATTTTTATGGCAACCCTAAAACTGCTTTGCGGGGAAACCATCTTATTTAAAGACATGTGAATGCAGATGCATTATCATGATGAGGAAGTCAAGATTTTTAGAGTACAGTTCAGATTATTTTCTCTTAATTAAATACCAAAGATTTACTGTTTGCCCTCTGATAAAAATTCATTGCTGATAACTCTTGCTGTTCGAAAAGACAGCCAACAGAACTCTAGCTATTGTGCTTTTATGAGTTTGTTTTTCATCAGAACTTTGGCTGCTGGGCTTTGTTTTTGAATTTTGGCTGTTGTGATTTGACCTATTATGTTTTTGTCAGCTTTGCGAACCTCTTCCAGTTGATTGTGAAGATTGGGCTTTTGCTTTCATATCACTGCTATAAACTCCCATCTCCTCACCAGCAACTGTTTTCCCATAAATTCTTCATCTCCATTTCATAATCCAAAAGTCTAGCAAACTGTAGTACAACCTAACTCTTTTTTAACTCAGCAGATGTGGAACAGATTTTACACTAGTTTGATTTATTTTTAGTATCTCAATTAAATGCGATAAGATCCAACTGAAGTATTGCAATCATCCACGATTTCTTGCTTAATTTCATATTTGAGTCATGTGCATTATTGTCATCTTGAATTGTTTAAACCGTTCATATTACTGTCTATAACTTAAACAGTGATCATTGCAAACTTGTTTGAGTATTTGATTGGACTCTGTGATTGTTTTCCAAGTATAATGCAAAATTTAATATTAATATGCTGTTTATGGAATTGATCTATCTTGAAATTTACAGCCACAGTAAGCGCATAAACAAAGCAGCATAATTTGATAAATAATCACAATTTAAATACACATCAAATTTAGAATGATCTTGCCAAAATCATTGCCAATGAAATGTCATCTGTTAGACGAGTCAGGCGAACGCAGTTCGCGTAAGTGGGCTACCGCGCAGTTGCGCTATTCCAGACTAGCAATTGTAGTTGATTTTTGATCTGGTGATTTGGCATATTTTATGGAGTTCCTAAGAGAGGTGGAAGAAAAGTCATGGCAGAGCAGTGAGAAAACATGAATGAAATTGGAAGGATGATGGACGTAACAATAGCATGCCCGTGAGAAGTTGCAAAAGATTAGTAGAGTTCTGGAAATAGTCGCCGAGGTGAAGTAACCGTTACACAACTGCAGGTGCTACGCTGATTGGACGAAGGTGCTGAAAGTGCACGAAGGTGTAGAATTATGGCAAGCTAGGAGGAAAGGGGGTGAAGTCAGGTAGATCAGAGAGCTGCAACGAGGAACCATTCAGGTTGTCAGGGGATTGCCGTAAGAAAGCAGTATAGTTTTAAGCAAAAAACATTCAAAGTAATGCTGGTACTTTGAAATAATATTGAACACATTTAAATATCAGAGTAATTATAAAAATAATTTGATGCAGTGCAGAGTGAACCAGAACTTAGGAGAAAAAGGCAATCGTTATTGTGACACAAACATAATTTACATACAAACATATACAGATACAAGATAAAAATGGAGAAACAATACATTATACATATTTTTCATGAAAACATGCTAATTGCTGTGAGACATAAAATTTAGCGCAGGGTTGCACATACATCATTTCGCATGACTGGATAAGTATCCATAGAGATATTGTAACATATATGCATTTATATAATTATATTATTATATTTTTAATGTATTTTTTATTTCATTTATATATATATATATATATATATTTAATTTTAATATCTGATTTTTTTTATTTCTTAATTAAATTAAAAATATATAAACTGATAGTAAAAATAAGGCCATTATCTGAGCACTGCAAGTGTCTTCTACGAAAACGAGGGTGATTATAGTTGTATCGTAGCCGAGGTACTGTATGATTTCCTGCCTGAGAAATTCTGCTAATAAATCGTTTTGTCAGATGCTTGATATAGTTGCTCATGGTGGGAATGCTAAGTTCCCTATGCAAAGCCTCGTTTTGTATAAACCACTGGCAGCACATAATCTGCCGAAGAAAGGTGTTCTGGTTCACTTGCAATTTTTTCATGGTAGACTCACAGACGTAGCCCCATATGGGACTTGCATATGTTAAAATTGGTCGTAACATGGATTTATAAAGAAGTAATTTATTAGCTAGTGATAAACTACTGTCCTGAGCAATTAAGGGGTGAGTACATTTTTACGTGCTCGGTACTTCATAGTAACATGTGCAATGTGGGGCTTCCATGCGAGATGATTATCAAGAATAATGCCTAAATATCGGGCCTGCTTGGTCCAGGGGATGGGAGTGCTATTCATGACAATATGCCATGAATCATTGATTTTGTGCTTTCTAGTGAATAGGATTGCTTCAGATTTATCAACATTCACTTTAATTTTCCATTGATGAAGCCAGGTTTCCAGTGCGTGGATGTGTGACTGTAATGCTTATATGACTGAACTAACAGATGCGTTTTGAGCAAGGATTGCAGTATCATCTGCGTACATTGGGAGTGTTGTATTGTGCATGTGTAGAATGTCGTTTGTGTAAAATAGTGAATAGGAGGAGCCCTAAAAGGGACCCTTGTGGGACGCCGTTGTGAATAGCTCGACGAGTGGAGTATGTATCGTTAACATGAATGACAAAGTTTCTATCATGAAGATATGAATAAATAGTGTGTGTAATGTAGGCAGGGAAACCCTGCACTATGAGCTTTGTTATGAGGCCCTCCAGCCAAACCCTATCGAAAGCCTTAGCAACATCGAAAAATGGCTCCAGTGGTGAGTCTGTTTTGCAGTCCATAAGAAATGAGTTCAGTGGCACAGTACAACTGGTGAGTAGTGGAATGAGACTTTTGAAAACCATGCTGCTGAGGGATGATGATATTATTTTCTTCAACAAATCGGAGGAGTCTCTGAAGAATCACGTGCTCAGCTACCCTGCTTAATCTGTTAGACATGTCTGTTAATTTATAGTGATGTACTATTAACATATGTGGGAATTTTTTTAACATATCTTCTATATTGAAATCATGTTTATATAAAATGTTTTCAAAATAAAAATGCAGTAATTTGCACATTTATTTTTAATTCATCTATATTTCTTATTTATTTTTATATATATACTTTTTTCTAGGTGGAATCAAAATTTATTCTAGGTTTCTTTGGAGTTCTCATTGTACTTGTATCTGTGATTTCTTCCCTTGGCCTTTTCTCTTTCATAGGGGTGCCAGCTACACTTATAATAGTTGAAGTCATTCCATTCTTGGTGTTAGCTGTTGGTGTTGATAATATTTTTATACTGGTTCAAGCTTTTCAAGTAAGTGTTGAAATAATATATTATGTCAGTGATCTCAAACTGGTGTCCTGCAGCCCATATACAATTTTATGTGACCTGCAAGTACGGTTTAGTTATGTATTTTTGATAAATACTGTACCAAAAGTATGAAGATGGTTAAAGTTATCGAAATGATAACTAAAACAGTAAATTTTATTCGTAGACGAACTCTAAATCGTATTGCTTGAAGAAAATGAAAGTAAGCACAAAGAAATTAATTATTTAGTATAAAGAGGTGAGGTTGTTATGTCAAGGTATTAAACAGCTACATTAAAACAGTTTTTTGATTTAATGAATAAATCAAAATTTTCATGACACAAAAATAAGCAAATAAATGAAACCATCAAAGAGTTACATAATGGTATATGGATAACAAATCTAGCAGCTCTTACTGACTTTACTGGCCATTTAAATATTCTTAATAAGGAGTTTCTAGGAAAGAATAAACTTAGCATGTACCTTTTAAAGTTAAATTCGAATTACAGGAAATATAGCCAGAATCAAAATATTTCTTATATTTCCTACATCTTAAATCTTGCCCTATTATTTTACATGAAGAATCTCAGAAATAAGCAAACAGAAATAGGACTATTAATGCAAGAACTTGAGGAAAAACTTATTGATTTGTATTCCAATTTTTCATTGTCTTCATTACTATCAAAATGAGATAAATAATGTGCCAGAAAATCTACTAATAATGGTAATTAATTTACTTGTGTGATGCAAATCTTATTCAAGGATTTGAAAATACAGCTTTCATTAACTTTTATTTGTACTTTTCAAAAGGTAAATACCCTCAATTATGAATTTTTTAAGTAAGAATAATGGCTTTGTTTAGGAGTATAAGTATATACAGTGTTTTTTGCAACTGAAAATTAATAACTCTGACAAAAGAACCCGATTGACAAATGAGCATCTAGTATTGAAGATAGTTTCAAGTAATTTTTTTATCTAATGTTACAAACTTTATCAGGATCAAGATGCCGGCAAGTGTTAAGTTATGGTAATAAATAAAGAAGTTTATAAATTTTTACATGCAAATACATGTATTTTTTTCTGCATGTGTTGAAGAAAGATGCTTGTCATTATTTATTCTTGCGTTTTGTAGCATTTTGAAAGGTTTGTCTGTAAATTTGGACCATTTTCCTAAAATTAATTATTTTTTAGTTTAATCATGTTATTTAATGGTTAATTATTTGAAATAAATTAATTTTGAAAATTTAACATTTACCTGGCAATGCAATTAAATTGCACAAAGTTTTAAAAGAAATTTCTTGCAAGTATCAAAATCAAATTTCAGATAAATAAATAGAAATTTGAATTTTTTCTTTGCATTATTACTATTATTGTTGTTGTTTTATGCTATTTATCTGTAAGTGATTTGGCACCTAAAGAAAAAAAAAAAAAAAAAAAAAAAAAAAATAAATAAATAAATAAATAAATAAAAAAAAAATAATAATAAAATAACCGAAAGAAAGAATCTCATAGTTTTAGCCATAAGTTTTAGATACAAAATGTAAGAGAAAAAAATGTACAAAATGTACAAAATGTATAGAGAAAAACATTGTAAAAAATACTATTGAATATCACTGAAATAAATAGCCCCTGAGCTTGAACTGCAATCAGTTAAGATACCGCAACAAAATCTGGCTGTGTGTTCTTATACCTCACCACATGATCGTATATTAGCACCGGCTGTGTGTTCTTATACCTTGCCATGCAGTCGTATATTAGTGCCATGTTACATTTTTGGTATCACTGCATGTTCTTATATTATTCATTTTTTATGATGTTTTCGAATTCACATGTTTTATTTTAAAATATGTTCAATTGCTGCTTTTTTTTCTTGTGAATATGACATTAACAGTCTTTAATGTACCAAGTAATGAGGTGGATGCGATATCATTTTTTTTTGAGAAAGAGGCCTTTTACCTGATAAATGAATATGCAAGAAGGACCACAACATGAAACTTTATGTTAAAAGATGAAACCATTTTGAGATGTAATGTTAAAAATTGCAAAAAGAAGAGGGTTCTCTGTGTTTGAAATTGGTTCATCCGTTCCAGAATATCGTTCTTCACTGCTATTAGATTTATATATTCTTGTGCAGAGGAGCTGATACCTATGAAATGATGTAACAAACATTTTAATATGTGTGAAAGTGCTACAGCTGACTGGAACAATTATATGCAATAAAATAAATAATATTGACGATAAAAATAAGGATTCTTAAAAATATTCTTAGGAAATGACATCTGAATAGTATTGTTATTTTATATAATGTGTTGTTTATTTTTGCATTCATGCTTCATGCATTTAGAAAAATTATAGCTGAGATCTTGGTGCAAATCTAAAATTGCCAAATATGGTTGGTGGACACTATAACTAAGAAGTACCAAATTTTCAATCAAACCCTGTTCAAGGCAAATTAAACTTAAAAAAAAAACTATGCTCTCCAGTCATCAGCTTATATAGATATGATATCCATACATTAGGAATATGAAAGGCATGCACATGTATGTACATACAGTACAAAGTCCGTAATCCGGACTCGTTGTGACTTCGGCGATTCTGGATTAGGGGTTTTTCCAGATTATAGATCATCAATTTAAATCTGGTAAGATGACATGCAGAAATTATACAATTAAAAATATGAAACTGTAATTTATGAAATAAAGAGCAATTATGATCTAAAGGGTATCAAATTTTACAAAAAAAAAAAAAAAGCTTAATATTTAGTTTTCTTCTACTTTGTGAAGCTTGGCTTTCCTTTGGCACCTTGTGCTCCTACGCATGCAAAACGAACTTTCTTTTCTTTTTTTTTTCTTTTTTCTTTTTTTAAATTTAATTACAGACGCTTTCTTTCCACTCCAGAGAGAAAATATTTATTTGTTTACTTCATTAATCATTTCTTCCAACGCGAGCATGCGTAAAGCATACAAAAAAAAAAAAGTTTGTGGCTTTGAGGTCCGGTATGTGCATTCTTTATGCGCATGCATAAAGCATACCAAAAAAAAAAATGTTTGTGGCTTTGATGTCCGGATTATAAATCATTCCGGATAATGGACGTCCGGATTACAGACTTTGTACTGTATATACTCACATACACACACTCTTACATTCACACACACACACATATATATAATATATATATAAATTCACTGTTGTTTGGGGAGGGAGGAGAAAAGGTATGCGACCCGTCTGCTTTTTTTAGATCTTGCACTTGACCCGCATGCGATTTGAGTTTGAGAACACTGCATTACATCATGCATATATTTTTCTTATAGCCTTTAATTAATATAAAAGAAAAGAAAAATTAGTGTTTATATATTTAAACTTAATTTTTTCATATACATTCATTTCTAAGGGAATTTGAATTTACTGAATGTATTACATTTCTAGAGAGAAGAAAGAAAACCGAATCAGAGTTTGGAAGCAAGAATCAGCTATGTTGTAGGAAAAGTTGCCCCCAGCATGTTGTTATCGAGTATTTCAATGTCTAGTTGCTTTTTTATAGGTAATTATTGAACATTTTCAATTAATCCCAGAATATTTGCAAAATCACTTTAGAACATTTATTTTCACTTTGTTTTCCTTACTCAATTATTATTTTTCATTTTTTGGGGTTGTTTTATGTTTCCCCAGAAAAGAATTTAAATCTTTTATCTGTAGTCTATGTCAGCATTTTAAGTACTTGAAGTAGCCTTTCGCCATCCATCATGCTTTGTAGATAAATTTAGTAGTTTTGATGTTCCTGAAAGAACATTTAATCATTATTTAATTTTTCATTATTTTACTTCTCAAGATTGCTGCTCAGCCGGCATAATGGTTAGTGACCCTGATTGCCATAGAGATGGGCCCAGGCTCGAATTCGGGAGAAGGCATAGTTGTAACTGTCCATCCCCTTTATGGGAGGCAATGGTAGCCACCTGTTACGTGCTTCCATAATGAAATGGCCACCACTTCTGGCCTTTGTAGTGGCACAAGGCTGGCAAGGCTAGGCACAACGTTTTCAAGACTGGGCAACCTACTGGCAATGCTGGACACCCACTGGCCCATCGGCAAGGCTGGGTGCAAGGCTTTTTTTTTTTTAAATGACTGGACACAAGGCGCCCAGCCTTGTTCTTTCAAACAATAGGAAATGCTTTTCTGAATGAAGTTATATATAAATTGTTGGCGCATCCTTTTTCCTAAACCTATCATTTTACTGCATTAATTATTTACAAATCATTCATGGCACAGCATTTCTCACATGAGTAATTTAGGGAAAACGGGAAAACATTTGTAATCAAATGTGCATTCAATATTTGTGCTATGTAGTAATGCGTTTTACACAGCTGTCAATTCTGTGTCTGCATTATGAGTGTTATTTCTGAATGCTGTTTCACTGCAAGTTGCAGAATGTTTATTTTTGTTGATTATTCATGTTAGTTTAAGAGTTTTTAATTTGATCTACAAGGAATGTGAAGGAAAAAATGAAAAATAAAATTGAATAAAATATAGTAGAGAACTTCACCAAGACATATAAAACTTTTGCAAAAGTTAAAGCGTTTTTCTGTGGGCGAAATCAAAATGAAAAAACATAAAACATTTAAGTCTCGAAAAGTCGTATTTTAAATTGATATAAAACCAAAGATAATATGAAGTCTTTGTAATAAAGTGTATTTGTGCTGAAAGTAGCAAGTATTATTGATTTAAAAAGTATTCCTTATTTCCAATGTATAATATCTTTTTGGTTTAATCTTTTTCTTTATTCATTTTTTACTTCATCTACTCAATAATTATAAAGCAGAGTTCTGCTGTATATAAATGATTATAAGGAAGTGGTTTTCATGAGAACGTAAACTAAGTAAACTAGTATCTAAAAGTACTGATTGTTTTGATGTTACTGGTTTTTAGATCTCTATACAATGGAAGTACTAATTAACTATATATGTATTTACAGATGTTTAGTTTGAAAGTTGCTATGGGAAAGTTATAAATTTTGTAGACCGATGCATTTTATTGGTTACTAAATGAAGCTGGCAGTTATGGCATCAAATCTGTATTCGATCCTTGTTGTAACTGCACAAATGTGTTTTGTAACTTCTCAAACAATTCTTTCATTAGTTGAAATATTTCATATTTTGTCACAGACAACTTTTAAAAATACTAGAAAGGAAAAAATCTCAAGAAATCTCAAGGCAAGTTTAGAAAGGGTTTAGGTGTTCATTTGAAATGGTTTTTCGAAATATATTTCTGAAATTAGTTATCCATTTTTTTAAGTGAATTTAGTTTCAGTTTAATACTTTTACTCATTATATTATTTGCATATAATATTTAAAAATTAAAAAAGGAATTCTACATGTCTAGAAGTATTTGTAAACAGTTCCTGTTCTATCAATAATATACTGACGCTTTTAATGATTATTTATTAGGTTAAAAATTTTAGAAAATAATTTTTTTCTCATTAGGATAAGCTATCGTATTATGTATAAACTTGACCTTTGATCAAGCAGAATTATATATTTTTTACTAATTTCATAATAATGCATTTCTAAATTGATAGTTTATTATGTAAAGCAGTATAAAGTATTAAATAACTTTTTTTGACAGGTACTTTGACAGAAATGCCAGCTGTACGCTTATTTGCTTTATATGCTGGAGTGGCATTGCTTGTAAATTTTTTCCTGCAAATGACTTGTTTCTTAGGCCTGTTTATCTTAGATTCCAGGAGACAAGAAGTAAGTTATTCTTTTTTTTTTCTTTCATTAATCATCAACTTTTCCAAGATACTTAATTTTTCTTTTATTATCTTCATTATTTTTATTTCTCTGCATATTTTCAGAGTCAGAGGTTGGATGCTTGTTGCTGCATTGTGGCATCAAAAAAATCCAAATCTCATTATTCATTGAAAGAAGGATTGATGTATAAAACTTTTAAGAACCTTTATGCACCTTTCCTCATGAAAGATTCTGTAAGATACCTTGTGGTAAGATATAAATTTTTTTAATACCTGGATTTCAACTGACTTTTAGTTATCTTTTTATCTATGTATGTAATCAAATTTAAATTTTTAGATGGTAGGATTTATGGCATGGATCTGCACCTCGCTTGCAGTTTTGAATAAAATTGATATTGGATTTGACCAAAAACTTTCAGTTCCAGAGGTAGAATAAAATTCTTAAATACTTAATTGATATTTAGTTTCTCACTAAAAGTTATAGTAAAATTGTCAGTTTTGTGTTCTTTTTTTTAACTTTCATTGCAATTATATTTTGTGCAAAAACAAATTTATGTTAACTTTGAAAACATTCAAACTTGTTTTATGTATGCATTTCTGATTACAAAAAACTAGAATAATAGTTCTATCTGCTCTTCATTGGTGCTTGAATAAATTCAATAATTGTAATTTCCAAAAGTAGAGAAATTTAATAATAAATATCATACTTACTATGTAATTTTAACAATTGCATCCTCTGCTAATTTAGGGCGAAGTTTTTAAACACTAGCCAAAGGGCAATTTTTTTTCAAATCTTTTTTCTTCTTTATCTCTTTCCTCTTTGGATAAGCCCAAGAAAAACCATGATGGGAGATGAATGTATCTGTCATTAATCATAACCCTGTGTGCATAGTTTGGTAGCAGTATGATTTTTCCGCTTAAAGTAGAACCTGAGTGGTACCATTTAATAGGGTTATCATATATAATAATGCTATAAGAAGCTTTTCCTAGAATTATGTTTCTCCCAGCTCTAGTTTAAATTGAAATTTCTAGTCAAAACAGGTCTACTTGTTTTTGTTAAACAGGTCTACAGGTTGTGTATACATTACTAGAACATTTTATAATGGTGGGAAACATGTTTTGCATGCAACTCTGTGTTAAATAGAAGAGGAAGGAGCAAATGTACTTCTGGGAGGTCTTTGCATGAGCTAATCCAGTGTCGTCCAACCCGTGGCCCTCTTATTCATTTTGTTGGCATTTGCCCTTCTTATTGGAGAAAAAAATTTTAGTTAAACATTTTTAAAAACAAAAGATCCTTCTTACTGCTTTAAATAATATTAAACAGAATAAACTGTATGTGTGAAAAACAAGCAATGTAAAACAGTCGCTAGGATGGGAACTAGCTCGCGAACCTGCGCCGCAAGGAATACAAAATAGCAGATTTAGCGGGAAACCGCTGACATTGGCAAAGACATTGACATCAGATGACAATTTCTTTGGTTCCTAAAGATATATTAAACTAGTGATTTATATGTAATTCATTTTTTTTCTTTAATGTCTCTGGCCCTCATTCTCATATACTAATGTTTGATTGGCCCTCACTCTCCTATACTAACGTTTGAGATTTGCCACAAGAAGAAGAAATTCTAAGAAGAAATGTTTCTTTGATCATGTAGTTTAGAGTAGCTAGCTGGTCTATTAGCAATTTTAGGGTCACATACCCTTCTTTTCCCCGTCACATTGTGCCGTTTACATAAGATGTTCATAGATATTTAATGCCATATTCAGGATTTGAACCCAAATCCACAGATTGTAATAACCACCTCCATTGATTACCATATCAATTAGTTGAATATGTTAATTAATTATAGCCAACCAGTTTTTGAAGTGTTTAATGACATATTGAATGTGAGAACCTCAAGTTATTGAGGCCAATAATTATGATACTGTTATTGAAATAGTAATATGAGTTTTTCTGGGATTAAAACAATTTCTCTGACACCAATAAATGCAGTTTTTTATGCAAATTGAATTCTTTATTCACTGTATCTTTTGAAATGATAAACCCAGTACAATCCTGTACTCTTATAATTACCATATTGCTAGTTCATTAATTTTTGAATTAACTGAGATTTACTTCTTTCAGTTTTACACCAATAAAGTTTTTTAATTGAAATTATTTGCATTATCAATAATTTTCAGTCTGAAAACTCTACAGCCCTAAAATTAATTATGTAATATGTGTCATGCCATCTGACTAACGCATAGTTAAGTTTCAGCATAATTGTTCGTATTACTTTAAATTCTCTTGTGTGTAACTTTAACTCTTTCTATAGCTTTGCTATGCATTATAGAAGTTGAGAATTCCTAGTAACATGTGCTTCCTGGTAATATCTACTTTCACTGTACCAGATGAATAGTGAAAAGTTGCTTCCTTGATAAACAGTCTTATCTATTCTAATTTAAATCCCAAAGCTTTGTATTCTAAATACCAACTCCTATAATCATAAAGACAGGCAATTTATTGCCCCATCATACCATCTAAAGTACACTAAATACAGACTCAAATAAAGGTTTAAAATAAACCTGTTAATGTATAACAAATGTAATGCATGTGTTTATTAACTCATTAACCTCACAATTACACAAACTTATATAATAAAAGGAACCTAATAGCTACTATTTGCAGGAAATATAGAACAAATATTCCAGTCAAATTAAAACATTAAATACTAAGTGGCATGTGCTAAATGAATTTTGTCTGAATATTCATGAAACAAATGTGGCTAGTGAAACTAAAGTTAAATTCAGTTGTAGGGAGAAATGGCAGAGTAACCAGTCAGCAATATTTATCAAGTTGGCCTAATTTAGCAAAGTCTTTCACTCAAACTTAAGAACTCTGCACTTATGTGCATTAACTATTTTGCACTTTATGGGAACTGACAAAAGTAGAAGAGTTAGTATAGGCTAAATAATAAGGTATTTGGTTTTATTAATATAAAATAATACAACTTCTTCTTGGTTAAATTTTATTGATGCTTCATTTATATGGTTGTGTACATTAATTTAAGATATAGTCTCTGTTCTTCTGACAGGCATCTTATACATAAGGGTTCTCTTCTGCTTGCTTCTTTTTTTCTTTTGCCTCAGTTATAAACTTATATTAGTGGCTAGAAAACTGTTTTCAAGTTTCATTAGTGTCAGTTTCGATTTAGTTTGCCGAGTAGAATTAGTAGATGTGTGTTATCAGAAGTTCTGTATTATAATATCTAGCATTTAGGTATATAATCAGTATGCTTCACCTGTCTTTTCTGTTTCTGTGACAGTTTTTAGGTTTTATTTGATAATTTTTCCAATTTAGAAAATAATTTTTATTTATTGTAATTTTAGTAATTGTATTATGTCATAGTGCTCTTTTTCATTGTTTAATATTGGTTTGAAATTATTTTTATAATTTGTTAAATTTCGTTCCTTATATATGATTTTTTTCCTTTTTCAGGATTCTTACATGTTGAAATATTTTGATTATCTTGAAAAATACCTCTCTGTTGGACCACCTGTTTATTTTGTTGTAACTGATGGGTATAACTATTCTGATCCAGATGCTCAAAATAAAGTCTGTTCATCTCGTAAGTCATGTGATCCTGATTCTCTTACTACTTATCTAGGTCGGATGGCAATACTCAAAAACAGGTATTACATTTTTAAATTTTGAAATTATTTCTAGTTATAAAGGATAGTTACTAAATTGTGAAGTATTATCTATCTTCTTTGAAATTTATTCTTCATTTTTAGAACGTACATAGCCTTTCAACCACTATCATGGGTAGATAGTTACTTTGAGTATTTACAAGCAAAATCTTGCTGTTTTAAGTTTAGAAAAAACGGAACACATTGCCCATCTTATATAGGCTCTCAGTTCGGAGGTATAATTGAAAATCTTTGATAGTAATAACTATTATAAAATTATTTATTACTTTAATGTTGTATTTTACTCTATCTTATACTTTTTTAGAATTGTGTAAACCTTGTTACGTCCGAAATACTTCTTCTCTGACAGAAGAAGCTTTTAACCAAAGACTTATGTATTTTCTCTCTGATTCTCCATGGGAAAAATGCCCAAAAGGGTATGTACTAATTATTTTGTTATAAGAAGCTACTACAGTCAAAAGTCGTTAATTCGGACAATTCGGACATCCATAATCCGGAATGATCTATAATCCGGACCTCAAAGCTACAAACTTTCTGCGCATGCGTCGCGTTCACGCATGCGCACAGGCGTTTACGAGAGCGCGTAAGACCCTTATGGCTGCGAATATGTTTGTGCGCATGCGCGTTTAAATTGTAACGGAGTTATACGCTAAGCTAAAGTTATCTAATTCAGTTAATGTTGCCGATTGCGTTGTTCCTTAATCTTCGAATTATTTTTTGCAGACTGTTAGAGCAATTTTATAAAAGTAAGCTTGAACTTTCGATTATGTCAAATAGAATTTCTGATATATATTTACTACAAAGCGAAAGTATGTTTTGAAATCTGAAATCTGTTTATCAATTTCACGCTGCTCTGCGGCAGAGGGGGGGGCAGAAACGTCATTATTAGATTATGATAGATTAGAAAGATTATGTCAAATAGAATTTCCGATATATATTTACTAATATGTAATTTGTATCTACAAAGCGAAAGTATGTTTTGAGATCCGAAATCTGTTTATCAATTTCACGCGGCGGATTGGAAGTTGATTTGTCAGCACTATCCTTATCTTCAGGTCTTCAGGGCAGATGTTTTTATTTTATTTGGTTTATAATTCCATACTAAGTGTAGTATTTCATTCTGTCTTTGATATGATTTCAAATCAAGTTCCTCGTCATTATAATTCGCTTCCGATAGTGAAGAAAGTGACCCAGAGGTTATTGAAAACGAAAACATTTCGATTGACAAATTAGTTGGTATTCTCAACACGGCAAATTATAGGACTTGAACAGCGGAACTTTGTAACTAAACAAGAAATTATGTCTGTTTAATAGAATTAAAGAGAAAGTATTATCACATGAAACGAAGCAACTTACATTGAAGGAAATGTTTAATAAAGTAAAACAAATAATATTGAGCTTTTTCTTTTTGTAAATTTTGATACCCTTTAGATCATAATTTGTTCTTTATTTCATAAATTACGGTTTCATATTTTTAATTTTGTAATTTTTGCATGCCATCTTCCTGATTTAAACTGATGATCTATAATCCGGAAAAATCGATAATCCGGAATCGCCGAAGTCCCGACGAGTCCGGATTAACGACTTTTGACTGTATTTAGATTTAGATATATAAGTTTATATAGAGAGAGATCTTACATTTATTCCACATCTCACATTTTTGTTCAGTTACTTTTACCTTCAAGATTCTTACACAAAATTGTTTATGTACACAAAGTCAAAAAGAGAAGAAAAAAAAATGGTACAGCTCTCTATCTTTCATTTTACTGGGTTGATTGATGAAATTCAACTTACATTTTTCATGTCTCAAAAATATGACTTAAGATATATATTAGACTTATAGATAGCCTTGTTCTAACATAAATATTTCATAAAAGTGAAGCAACAACCTGTGTTAGGCATAGATTTATAGCATAGAAACTTTTTCGATTTCGATGGCTATCCTCTTCATCAGGAGCAAAGAAATCTGCAACTGGAAAACCAAGTTACAAGCATGTTTATACCTTAAGAAGGTCAATGATCAGAATAGCGCCATCTGTTAGTAGAAATGATAAAAATTTAAAAAATAGGATAATAGAGATTTAAAAGCATTAGGTAGGATTGGATTAAAACCATTAACAAACACGGTAAACTTTTGTGATTGTGAAAAGCTTTGAAAAAATCTAATTCTCCAGTGGAAGAAGCTTTCTGGATAATTTTTGCAGACTCAAAGTCGAAATTGTGATTAAATTTCCAACTATGATTAGCAGTTGAAGACTTGTAAATTTCACCTTTTCGGACATAAGATTCATGTTTCTTAATGGGAAACCTTAATGCTCTTTTGGTTTGGCTGATATATCTCAAACCACACTAACAAGATATGCTATAAATTCCCCAACAGTTGAAGTCAGAAATAGTATCTTTTAGAATTGATGGGCGAGAAAATGACTAATAAATAATAAATAATAAAACTGAACTTCTGGAGAATTCTTGCAATTTTGTAACTGACAGAAGGATGAAAGGGAAACACGACTAAATTAGTAGTATTATTTCTAACAGCGGAATGTTTTCTTGGATGGAAAGAGTAAAACTTTTACAGAGCTTTTTGTTTTTTCCATGGCAGAAAATCCTCTGTCAATGGCAACTGCTGTCAAATAATTCAGTTCATTATCAAATAGAGATTCAGAGGAACAAACTTTGAGAGTGCAAAAAAACATAATAGTAAAAAGGAGCCATTTTTTGTTTAGTCAGGTGACATGACTTGGCGTGGGGAGGCAAACAAACAGAAAAAGGTTTACGGTAAATGTTAGTGTTGAAATCAGATTCATTGCAGATTATAAGAATATCAAGGAGGGGAAGAATATTTTCAAATTCAAATTCAAATGTAAACTGGATAAATGGATCAATTAAATTAATAATAGATAAAATATGTGATGTTAAAATGTTATACTTTCTAAAGCCCTTATTACTTAAATGGTATCAAAAGCGATTTCGTTAATGAGCTATGCTAACTCTGCTCATATTAGATAGATTAAAAATGATTGTTGTGTTGGCTGAACACGATGAACTGTTGTTAGAACTGCCAGTAGTTTGCAAAGAGCTCTGAGTAGGGCTGCCACTTAGGTACAATTCATTAATAAGAAGATTCTCTGTGCCATTTAAATAATGGGCCATAGTAAGAAGAAAGCACCAAAAATTTCGCTTGAAGCTCTTTTTAAGGGGTTAGATTGTAATTTAAAATTTTCAGATTACCCTCCTCTTTTTAAAGACCTTGTAAACAGAAGTCTTGCTAACTGTCTTAGTAGAAATATTGTGAATTTTGTAATTTTTATACAGTAACTTTTCATAATACATATATCAGTTTTTAAATGTTTGTTTTAAGAAACTATTTTAATTACCTTCTTTTCACTTGTTATATATAATTGTATGTATTTTCTTAAAGAGGAAAAGCTATGTTTGGTTCATCTGTAGAACTTTTGATGGAAGGAAATGTAACCAAGATTGGAGGTAAGTAATTTGAGATTTGCTATTACATATCATTTAGTGTTATTAAAATTATTTATATTGTTCCCATGCATGTTTAAATAGAATTAAAATGCGATTTTACAGAATTTAATATTTTTATGGAATTTTGAAGTGTTTTTTATATGTAGCTACACATTTTATGACATATCACACTGTTTTGAAGACATCAAAGGATTTTTATGAAGCTTTGGATTGGTCACGAAAGATCTCGGAAAATGTAACTAAAACTATTGCTTCCAGTAATCCAAATGTAAGAGTTTTCCCATACAGGTAGGTAATATAGTTTAAATATTAGAATCTCTGCACTTTATTTTAGGTTTCTTGAAAAGCATTACATATAGAATTTAAAACTCCCAACAAAACTTTTATTTCCCTGTAGTAAAGTAATCAGATTGCAATATTTATTATGAAGCTTCTAATTCTCAACTGGTTTGATCATTGAAATTCTTTATTTTATTTCATTCTTTTTCTTGCCATTCTTTGCTCTGACTTAATTAATAGAAAAGATCTCTGCATATTCAAAATTTGGTAAAAAAATAAAGAATCGTGTTTGACCATTTTTTATTGGAAAATTGGTTTTTAATCTAATGCACTCATGTTAAAAGTAATAAATGCTATTTCTTTTGAACACGTAATATCTCTGAAATGTTTCTGGGTTTAATTTGTTTCCCTATATTTATAATTTTTTAATTCCATCTCCCTGAAAAATGCTAAATCAAATTTAAACTAACAAAGTTGCTGAAAATTATTTAACAAATCAAAATTGTATTTTGTTTATTAATTAATTAATTAATGTATATTTAAAATTTTCAAACTGAAAGTAAAATTGGTTCTATGCTAAACTGTGAAATGCATTTGGTATTTTAATAGCCAACATTTAGTGTAAGAGTCTTGTTTTATAATAAGCATTAAATTTAATAAGAAATATGAAGTCTTATTGCTTTGACCAGTTATAACACAAAACTCCAGCTGTGCTTAATTTTTTTAGTACACTTGAGAAATTATTTGTAACTGGACTTATTATTAGATAAATTTAATAATAAATATGAAGTCTTATTTCTTTGACCAGATATAACACAAAACTCCAGCTGCGCTTAATTTTTTTTTTAGTACACTTAAGAAATTATTTGTAACTGGACTTATTATCAGGTACTTAATATTAGGTAACTGGACTTTTACCTAATATTTTTGTATCTAAAGTAAGAACTTTGAATGCAGTTGTACATAATTATATTTATTTTCTGCAGCTTGGTGCATGTTTTCTATGAGCAATACTTGACAATGTGGCCTGATACGCTTAGAAGCCTGGGCTTATCAACTTTAGCTGTGTTTGTTGCAACATTCCTTTTACTGGGCCTGGATATTCATTCCGCAGCTATTGTTGCTGTGACCGTTATTGCCATTGTTATTAATCTTATGGGCTTAATGTATTGGTGGAATATATCTTTAAATGCTGTATCCTTGGTGAACCTTGTTGTAGTAAGTAAGAATTATGTAATATACTTTTATGAACATGATTTTGTAATAAATTTGAGGTGGTAAAATACTGTTTATAAAGAAGCAATTTATTTTATAGAAATATATTCCCATTTTGTTGATAATGAATTTTCCACTGTTTAACTATAAAGAATAAATTTGAAAACTTAATGGCCTACTTATACCTTAATGGTTAGTGTCACTGAATGCTATTAATTTTATCCTAGCATTTGTTGCTAGTTAGTGCCAACCCCTGCTGTCGTATATTTTATTCTCTCTTTTTAGCAATTAACATTATGCTAATGGTGTAGTTTTAGTACCTATTTTTAGAATCCAATGCAGTGTGAAACCATACAAAGAGAGATAAGCTATTTGAAGCAATGGTGGTGTTTGAAATCCTTACAAAGCTTATTAATTTAACTAAAGCTACACTTGGTAAAGTGAGATGTAGGATTAAAATTCAAAATCATTTATCTGAACCTTTTATAATAGAAAGAGACCTACATCAAAGAGATTCCCTTGCTTGCCTGCTATTCAATTATTTATATTGTTCAATTAGTTATATTTAGTGACAGAAAAGTGCATCAGAGACAGCAATTTAGACAAAAGGGGCATTTTCTGGCATCTGTGTAGGCCCTGCAAATATTGGCCTACACAGATGATATAGATGTTGTTGGAAGATTGGAAAAAACAGTAATTGAGTCTTTTTCAGCTTTCGAATCTTTTGCCACAAATATAGGCCTCACAGTCAACAAGGATAACATTAAATTCATGAAATCACATCCTACATCGTAAACTATCATAACACAATTTGTGTTAATGGCTACACATTTAAAATTGTTGAGGAATTTAAATACCTTGGCACTATAATTAATACTAATTCAGAAGTCAAACAACAAAAATCAGCGTTATACCTACAAAATTTTCACAGGACTAGTTTCGATGGTTTTACCGAACCATCATCTTCAGCTGCAAAACCGCAAATGAACAAGATAGGAAATAATGATTAGATAAGATAAGAAAGCCTGAACAAGAATAAGCAAGTGGCGCCATCTGTTGGCGAAACCAGAACTAAAACATAATTTCTCTAAAAGCCGAAGGCAAATTTGGATTGGAATTAGGATCGTTAACTAGAACAGAAAGATTTTTATGAATGTGAAATGCCTCTAGAAAATCCAGTTCTCCAATGGAAGATGTTTTTTGAATAATTTTGGCAGCAGAAAAATTGAAAGTGTGATTTTCGGACCAACAATGTTGAGCAACAGAAGACTTCTGTGTTTCCTTTTTTCTAACATATGCCTCATGTTCTTTGACGCAAAATTTTAAGGCTCTCTTAGTTTGGCCAATGTAAATTAAACCACACTGGCAAGGAATCCTATAAATACCCCAGGAATTCATATCCGGAATGGGGTCCTTGAGTATAGAAGTTGGAATTTTATTGATGGGAGAATAAACAACCCGAAAGTTAAATTTCTGCAAAATATGTGCAACTTTATAGCTAATTGATGGAAAGAAGGGAATGACAACAGAATTTTTATAATCTCCTAAAATAAGAGTGTGGCTTTTAGTGTGTTCAGATGAGAATTTTTTAACTGTTTGATTAATAATGTTGGGTGAAAAGCCCCTGTCAATAGCTATTGCTTTTAAATAATTTAGTTCTTCATCAAGGGCTAGTTTGGAGGAGCAAACTTGCCCTTGATGAACTAAGAGAGCCTTAAAATTTCACGTCAAAGAACATGAGGCATATGTTAGAAAAAAGGAAACACAGAAGTCTTCTGTTGCTCAACATTGCTGGTCCGAAAATCACACTTTCAATTTTTCTGCTGCCAAAATTATTCAAAAAACATCTTCCATTGGAGAACTGGATTTTCTAGAGGCATTTCACATTCATAAAAATCTTTCTGTTCTAGTTAACGCTCCTAATTCCAATCCAAATTTGCCTTCGGCTTTTAGAGAAATTATGTTTTAGTTCTGGTTTCGCCAACAGATGGCGCCACTTGCTTATTCTTGTTCAGGGCTTTCTTATCTTATCTAATCATTATTTCCTATCTTGTTCATTTGCGGTTTTGCAGCTGAAGATGATGGTTCGGTAAAACCATCGAAACTAGTCCTGTGAAAATTTTGTAGGTATAACGCTGATTTTTGTTGTTTGACTTCTGAATTAGTATTTATTCGGCGTGTTATTGTGTCTTAACTATAATTAATGACAAAAGTTAAGAGCAGAAATTGATAATATAATTAAAATAGCTTATTAGTTCTTTGGGTTAAGGAGACAAAAGTCACAAAACAAAACTGCAAGTATATAAGATGTTAATACTTCCTGTTTTACTTTATGCAAGTGAAATGTGGACTTTAAATAAAGATAAAGGTATGCAACTCTCACTGAACATGTTTGAGAGGAAAGTCCCCAGAACAATTTTTTGCCCAGTACAGGAAGAGGGATGTTGGAGAGCAAGATATAATTTTAAATTGTACAGACTTTTGGGGCAACCACAAATAACACAATTCATGCATAGTAATAGATTAAGATGGATGGGTCATGTTTGGAGAATCCCAGAAGATAATCCCACTAAAATTTTGACATTCAAAAAAAAAAGCTGAGGGATCCTGAGCTAAAGGAAGACTACTGATTAGATGGTTAGATGCCATTGAAAAAGACTTAAACACTTTGAAAATTAAAAACTGGAGAGGAATTGCTACAGAAAGAAGATGCTGGAAGAGTATGTGGTTGGGGCAGCCAATTCCTGTAAGAGGCTGTTGTGCTTGTGAAGAAGAAAAACGCAGTTTAGGTCCATTTTGCTGCTTTGTTCAAACACAATTGTTGTACTGTTAGTAGATCCTATTCCCAATAATTCAATGTGTTACTGTATCTGATTTTCATTATTTTCTTCTTGTATAATGTGGGCGAAATCTTCATGCATAAACTTGTTTCTTTCAAAAAAGCTCATGTAAAGGCATTCTTCTAAGTCAGATATCCATTGTGTGTTTTCCTATAAATAAATAACCTAATTTAAACTAGAAACCTTGAGTTTAAATATAATTTGTGTCAGTATTTACAGTGAAACTACAGATGCTTCCCACACTACAAATGAATTATGTTTCAAATGATCAATCCTACCATGAATTTGTTCACAAAATATTACTAGGTTAGCTATGTTTATCTTCTAACGATGCTCATAAGCTATGAATGATAAATACTAGCAAATAAGGAATTAAAAATACTACCACAAGTAAATTACACCTTTTAAATGCAGAGCATTATAAATAAAAAATTACAGATAAATAAAGAACAACTTTTATATAGTACATATTTTGGATTGTTGTTTTTGAGGCATATTTGGATAGGGTATTGGCTGAGGCTAGTAGTTCAACCTCATGGGTGGGAATTGACAAGTAAAGGGAACATTTATCATGAAGAGGCTTTATAAGGAATGGGAAGAGTTGATATATTAGATGAGTCAACAACACTGATTTCTGCATTGTGTTTCTACAGGTTTTCTTTTTCATCCACCATAAATAAGATGTATGGCATTTTGCATAACAGACTTTAGTAAACCTTTCAGATTTTATGTCTTGGTTTTACAGAAAAATGAGGCTTCAAACTCTTTTTAACTCTGCACAAATTGAACTTTTTGTGAACAAGTTTGTTTGTATATGCAAAAGTTCATTAAGGTCATAAGTGGGGAGCATCTGTACATGAATAAGCTAACATTTGTTCATTTAATTTTAAAAGTATTTGCTGTTTATCTCTAATAGAAATTATATAAATTTTATATATATCAGGACTAGAAGTTTGATTTACTTGAACAAAAGACACGTTCAGCGTGCTTAAGATTATTATGATTAAACATAGTCTAATTGGAAATATATGTTATATGCAGTGATAATGTTAATTTTGTTAAGTAGTATAATGTCTTATTAATATAAAAGTTTTAATTTTCAGGGGGTTGGCATATCTGTAGAATTCTGTTCTCATCTCACAAGGAGTTTTGCCTTAAGTGAGAAGAAATGTCATACACTGAGAGCACAAGATGCTTTATGCCAAATGGGAACATCGGTAATATTTATCAACTCTTTATTTTTCCAGCTGTATTCTTTAGAATTGAGTTTTAATTTGTGAATTTAGATTAATCATATATTAATATCTTAATTTGTTGCTACTCATTTTACCTGATAATTGTATAAAATTTACTGAAGACATACAGTAAATATTGTAAAGGAATACAAGCACACAAATGGCAGAAAAACAATTACAGACAATAATGTTATCACTTCAATAATGTAGACACTTATCCGTTCACAATTACAGACTGTGCTTATCCCTTCATAATTACAGACTCTCGTGTGTACACTTATGTATTTGATTCTGAATATTTGCATAATCCTAAGATGGCATAATTAGTACCTTTGATTGAATACTTTTTATAAAAATAGACATAATTTGCAAATTCTTTTAATTTTGCACACAAGTGTTTTACAAATTTTTTACAAATATTTTATGCACTTTACAAATATTTTATGCACTAAATAAACCAAGAACTTGCATTTCTGATTTGTTCTATACCAGCAAAACCGTTTTTTTATGAAAATAGTAGTCATTTATTTCACAATCACTTATCTTAGTCTTTCTCAGTATGAAATAACTGATTCTAAAAGCTTTATTTAATGCATGTGATATAGCAGTCTATAATTGATTCCTCAAATTTCTAAACAGTTTATGTGATTTTGTTTTCATTTTATATCTTTAAAGCAAATGGCATGTAAAAAATGAATGTTCAATTTATCTGAGGTAATTTATTTCTGTTAAGCTATCATTGCAATTGTTTATTTCAAAGTTGACTGTTCAGTATATGTAAATGTGTGAGTTTCTTTAACCATAGTTTGTGAACCTTAAGTGATCAAACTTAGTTTAAGGTATCTACAAAACAAAAAAAAAACAAAAAAAAAAAAAAAAAAAAAAAAAAAAAAACCACATTAAATTGAGGAAATGCTTTTTTTGTAAAACAGTTTTGTTTTGTTAGTCTTTTACTAATAAAGTTGGCAGAATAGTACAATAGATGTGTGACATTAATGAGATGGTTGATTTACTTTATGACATTTAAGAGGAAATAAAATACAAGTAGATAGATCTTTGAATATTAATAAATATCCAATTTACTGTTGTAGTATTTTCTTGTTTAATTTTTATATCAACTCTAAACTGTCTAAACAAGTTTTAAGAATAAGATCAAAGTTTGGGAATTAATGAGATAATTGATTTACTTGATGAATTTCAAACTGTTTTATTAAAGAAAGTGACTTTTACTAAAGAAAATTTTAGTAAAGAAACAGACTTCATTAAATGACTGTTTTTATAAGCCGTAAAAGTTTTGAAATTATGAAACAAAATTTGAAAATGTAAAATTTTTATAATTTCTCCTATGAGAGTGTTGTTCTATTAACCTATTTTCTTTACTTTAAAGTATTGTTTACATACATATTTCAGAAAATTATCTGAAAATTCTCCTTTAAGTTTCTTTTTCTTTTACCTTTAGCTACATTTTTTAATAATAAAATCCAAGAGCCTTGAATAGATTCTTGGTAAATCCATTATGCAAATTGATAATCACTATCACCAATAATCATTTTCTCTAAGATGACATCCTTAACAAAAAACCAAAACCTTCTGAAACTGCAAAGGATCATCTTAGAGACTGCTCTTAAATCTGCAATTATGACAAAATTAAAATATTTTTAAAAATTTTTAATGAATTTACAAATATTTTAAGTAAAATTTAAATGTAAAGAAACTTTAGAAACTGCAGTAATATTAATTTTCCAACCTCTCTATAATGCCATGCAGCAAATATGGATTCAAAAGTGAGTAGTTTTCTAAAATTACTTAATAAATATGTCAGATGTTTTTAAAATAACAAACTCAACTTTTCTGAAATTTGATTTCAGGTTTTATCAGGTATCACATTAACAGATTGTGGTATTCTAGTCTTGGCATTTGCAAAATCCCAGATTTTCCAAATATTCTACTTCAGAATGTATCTGGGTATTATAGCTTTTGGAACTATTCATGGTTTGATATTCCTGCCAGTTCTTCTAAGCATTTTTGGTGAGTTATATTTTTTGCAGTAATTTTAGTTATTTTAATGTTTTACTTCACTGGCATTTTTTTTGGTAAATTCACATTTATTTATCAATTTATATCTATTTATCAATATTTATTTTATACAGTTGCTATAAAAGTCAAGGAATTAATATGTTTCTAAGAGTTTCATCACATACGAAAGTCTGTTTTAAAATATATGATGTAATTATCATTTTAGCTGTAAAATTTGGGTTGCTTGAATGTAAACGAACAAGATGCTTTCAATAAAATTCATACTGTGACTTTTAATTATTCACCTTCTACCAGTATGGGGTATGATAAAATATATGCAAAATACATAAGAATATTACGGGATCCTTGTGCTTGCTGTAGCAAAATATGGAAAGGGTAGAAAATTAATTTTAAAAAATGTTAGTCAAAATTACAAATATGCCAGGCAGTTGCATTTAGCCAACCCGTGTATTAAATTCCTGTAAACTTGATCATAAAATCAAGATAAATAATAATAATCATAAAATAAATTGATAAAATCATGCATTTTATTTATTTCTATTATGTAATGAGTATTCACCTGTGTAATAGGTGGTGTATTTAATTATGGCAAAGCATACTAGGGCTATCTGCCTAAGGGGAGGGATGCCTTCGTGGAGGATTTTCTAAGGGAAACTGGCTCGTATACATGTTACACATGGGGAAAACCACAAAAACACCCATGCAGCCAGCCCGTTCTCGGGATTCGAACCTCGGACCGAACTACCAGTGTTCAGCGACTTTACCGCTCGGCTGCTGGTGGGCTCCCTGTGTAATAGGAGCCGTTCAAAATGGTGTCCATTTGCTATCAGGCATTCCTGGCATTTTTTCAAATTTCAAAAGTAATAATTTTGTAGCCCTTTAGGCCAAGGCTTTTGTAACACCTGCTTCGTGTAAGACACAGTGTAGAGATTTCGTTGGAGTGCCCTGTAATTAGTGTCCAATTTCAACAACTTTCTCTTCCATTAAAAGTCTTTTTTTTTTTTCCCTTTACGAGATCTTTTGTTGAATGAACCATTTTCCCTTCCTATAACAATAAGATTTCTGAAAGTATTCCTATATGAGGAACTGGAATGCCAGGGAATTTTTCCATGAGTTGTCTAAACACTTCTTTGCAAGAATCTGTTTTTATATAAGTGTTATACAGAATATTTTTTTCGTTCGCTTTTTGTTAACTTTTGGCTTTGCATTGTGTACACAATAATAAACACACAAATAACAAGCACCTTATGACCATGTCTGAACTCACTTCATGCTAAAGCCAAGCTAATCCCCATATGACTTCAAGAGGAGTCAGTGACAATGGCAATTCAATTTGTGCCAGCCTCTTACTGCTGTGACCGTTATGCGTTGGCTGGAACAAAGATGTTTGGAATGTGCTGTACTTGGATGTCTTGAGAGAATTCTTTTCATTATGACTACATTCAGTTATGCATCATGACTTTTATCACTTCATCGCTTCAAAAATTATTGCCTCCTTTTGCATCTTTGAGCCATCCAAGCACATAAACATTACTATGGGTGTGGAATGGTGAGTAAAGTGAATGTGCAGAAATTCAAATTTCATATTCTGGATTGTCACAACTGTTAAACAGACATTATTCAGTTCAGCTTTATCACAAACTAATGAGACAATTGATGTTAGAAACTCTTATTGCTTATATCTGATTGCAGGGTAAAGGTGACTTTGGAGCAGATCTGCATAAAATGTACTGTTGACATTACTCCCTTTTTCATGAAATGTTCCAAAATTACCTTATTTGTGTTCAGTAATAAGCTATGTCACAATCCTTCGCTGGTTCTTTAGGTTCAAAGTTGGTTATAATGCACACATCTCCTGTAACAATTATTTCCATAATTCCACCACCTTTGACTTGAAAATGATGCAAAAGTTCCTCAGATATCAGTGTGAAGGTCTGCAAGTTATGTAATCAACTGACATAGCATCCCTCTTGCTGACATTTTGGCACACCATGGACAATATTGTGTGCTGAACCAACACTAATATTCAAAACTGTGGCAATTTCTTTCTCAGCAATATCCCTCTTTTCCTTCAGGAGCTTTTCTACCATGGTGACATTTTTATTCATCTCTACATGGTGTGCTATCCCAGTCAAAAAATATCCTCCACAAAAATGGAGGACATTCTACACATTTTCTCTTCAGAAGTGGACACTTTAAACTTTCTACCTCACTTGTGTGTTTGGTGAGGGATACATATTGATCACTGTATTGCACATTCGTTTTGCGATTAATTTCAATTTGCATTCCTTCTTTTTTTTTTTTATTTATGTACATATAAGTGTAGCATTCCCTCTTTTTTTCTCCTCTTTTATATTTACATTTGTTGGTTGTTAGCTACTCTTACTTTACTGAATTTTTTAAGCTGAAAGTCTCTTAGGAATAAATGAAGCCATAAGGTTCCATGAAGATCCTAACAATGTGTAATTTTTTAATTGCAAGCTGGAAGTTCTCTTACAGCTGGTTTATCAGAACTACATACTTTTGTACAATTTTTGTGATGTGCTAAGGCGTAAATAAAAGAGTTTAATTGTTTGTCTACTTAATTTATCTTCTCCTGAAATTTTCAAAAATTACTTTTTTGGGGGTGCAGTGTTTCACTAATGTAGTTTAAATTTGTTTGTTATAATTTAATAGTGTGTAATGTCAGAAATGGAATAAAATTCTTTAAATAAAAAATGTAATTTTAATTCTTGGCTTGGTGTACAAATTTATCTTCAATCTCCCCCCTCCCCCAAAAAATTGTGAGAGAAAAAGACGAGATAAATAATTGACTTGCTAATACTGAATCAGTGCATTTTTGAAGAAAAGCATGATAATAACCTTGATACATGGAAATTATCAAAAAGCCATCAAATTTGTAATTATTTTGTTTTAACAGCTGAACTTTGAAAATGTCATTCTATGTAATATAGGGTTCCATGAAGAGTAATTAAAAGCTCTGTAACTGATCGGAAAAAAAAGGGGGAGGATCGAAAATAATTTGAAATATTTAATTGTATTTTTTATTGATAAATATGTGTATTTATTGTTAAATCATGTGTTATAATGGCATTTTTTAGAATTCAAATCTGTGAGTTACAATAAGTAAACTGCCCTCAAATTATTTTATGATTGCATTAGAAGATAAGTTTAAATATATTACATTCATTTTGCTAATTTGTACTTGCCTATAATGGCTAATTTCTGATATCTTCTGCGTTAATTTCATGTTATGGAAAGATTGTCTCTTCGGTAAGAGAAAGTTGCTCTTTTAGTAACTTTTTGTAAGAAACCAGGCACAATTTTTTAAAAATTTCATTAGCTATGGAATTTAAATAAGGGAAAGTTTTGGATGTTTTTTCATTATAAATTTATTGTATATAGCTGTATTTAGTTTATATTTTGACTATGATATATATTAATTTAGTCAATTTATTCTTTTTCAATAGCATTGGGTGGGCCCTGGCGACTTCTCCAGGCATCTCTACTTTTGGCAATTGTTTTCCAGTTTTTAACCTTTAAAATATTAAGGTTTTTCTTGACACATTCAATTCATCTTAGCGGGGTCTGTCCCAAGGTCTATTTTTCATGGGCTTTGCCAGAAAAAGTTTCTTGCAGCAGCAATCTTCGTTTATTCTAGCCAGATGCCCCCCCCCCATTTAAGTCTCTGTATTGATGAATTTTACAATATATAAATTTTATAGAGTTCTAAATTAGTTAATTAGAGTTCTAAATAAATCTTCTTCTCCATGATCCGTAGTCAATTTATTACCTTATCATTAATTGATAGATTAGAAATAGATTGATAGATTAGAAATTGATCGATAGATAGAAATTGATCGATAGATTAGAAATTGATTAATTAGAAATAGGTCTCTAATTGTTTTGATTTAATATCAAAACAATTAGAGACCTATTTCTAAATAAATTTTGAAATGGCACAATAAAGAATTTAATATGTGAAAATATTTATATATATACTCACATATCTGAATATACACATACACTCTCATTTACCTTGATAAAAAGTAAATACAGTCATTCATAAAATGTCATTTCTGTAATATGAATTTAATAAATTTAAGGAAATTTCAAAAGTGTTCTCTGAATCTCAAACCTTCAAAAAATTTATAATCTGTTGAATGCTGTTGACTATTGGCTGTTTTGTTGAATGTTGATATTTATCATGACTTTTATTGGAATTATTTTGTTAAGTTTTAATGCTGTGAATAAATGACTTGATTTAAGATTCCTTAAAAAATTTTCACCATTTTAGATATGTCATAATTTAAAATTTAAATTATTTAGTTTTGTTGTTGAAGTTGAAAAGGGTTTCATTATAGAATTAAATTGGTAAATGCTTACCAAGAGGAAATAGGAGTACTAGCGATTGCATAGTAGCAGTTAAGCATATTTAAGCAAGCTGCATATTTCTTGTAGATCTAAGGTGATGGAGAAGACTGTCATATGCATGGCTGCCATCCAAAGTTTTTTTATTCTAATTGTATCTCACGTATATGTGATGTTTGTGAGGTAGGGCATGTTTCTGTTGCCATTCTTTCTCCTTGAACTAATTCATAAACTAGGCTTTTAAATATTATCATCAACAACGTGAAACATTCCTGCAGAACATGGAACTGTTTCAAACTGAGATACTTTCTGTGCTAAGTTATGTCTTTCCCCTTGCTTTTATTCTGCAAATGTAAGTTGACTTAATTCTTATTACATTTAAGTATTCTTATTCTTATTATATTTGAAAAATGTAGGTCCTCCTACCCGTTGGAAAAAATCAAAGAGACCTGAAGCATTTGAATGTAAAGTTGATTTAACTGAAGCATCTCTAACAAATGCTTAATTAGGTATGTTTCTGTATTAATAAGTTTATTTAATGAATTATTTCATTGAAATAATTGTAGTAGTTTGAATCATATATAGCATGCATATGCATGTGGCATATAAATGCACTAATGGATATAATAAACATTAATCACTAATAAAAAATGTATTTAGTTTATTGATTTTTATTTCCTGCGGATTGAAAAATTTCTTCCAAAGATATCCAAAACAAGATGGCTAGCTCTACTATGTGCAGCTGGGAGAGTGTTACATTTGTTTAATCCTTTAAAATCATGTGTTTTCTTTCAACTAATGAGTGTCCAAAAGCTTTAAAAAATTCTTTTTAAATGAACAAATCAGAATTTGGTTTTAATTCCTCCAAACACAAGCATCAATGTTTCATAATTAATAAAAAGAATGGAAGGAGAGAAAAGGAAAATTGTTAAAATTTCAGAAGAAGTTATTATTGAATTTAAGGAAAGAATTGATTCTTAAACATTATTTTAGAACAATATAATTGAAACTAGAAATATAGACCAAAAATGATTTATTAATCAAATTATAAATTTTATATGAATATTGTTTTTTAGCTAGAATTATGGGGAAAATTATTTGTGGGAAAATATGCATTTTAAATAAATTAATTTAAAATGTGAAATAGATTGCACCAAAACAGTAGTTTTCATGAAAAAAAAATATTTGCTTGAAAACAAATGGAATAATAAATAAATACCCACCGATAAGCATTGGATGCAAATTTGAAATTATTTCCGTGAAAATCATATCCTTTGTGTGCATTTCACAAAAGCTATAGAATTTGTACTTTGTTTACTTATTACCAATGCCAAACTCCAAGGGTGTTTTCCATTATAAATAATTTGTGGACAACAGAAAAATAACATTTCAGTGTTGATACTGTGAAGGTAATGGTTATAACTAAGTACAATACTTGCAAAGAGTTCAAAGAACAAATTGGAAACTGTGAAGAAGTATTTAGAAAGATTCAATTCTGTTTTAAAATATCACTAATCATTTGCACAATTTTTTGTGCTATACTTATATGTTTTGTTTTCATTTATTTGTATTTTTTAATATTTTTTGCTCTTGGGGTACATTAATATCTCGGATTAGCCTGAAGACAAAATAGTCACCCTAAGAATTTCTCTTCTGAAGACCTTATCACCAGAATCAGCATTGCTAATTGACAGGCATCTTTCAAAATATGTGCTAATTGGTTCTTTGTTGTTTTACGTGTGTACTGCTGTTGGGGGCAATCATTCATTTGAACAAGTCTTGCAACTATCAAACATTATTTCTTGTAAATATTTATGATTAAAATGACTTGGTAATTAATTCTATGATTAAAATGACTTGGTAAATTAATTCCATGACTTAATGGTTTTTATACTTAAAAGTGTTTGCTTACTTACATTTTGCATTCCACCCACACAATGTATTACTAAAACTGTTACTTTTGCCATGTTCTATTCAGGGGTGATTAAATTCTGCTTACAGCCAAAATTTGCTTTATATATATATATATATATAATTATTATTTTTCACCAATGGTGGGCACTTAGGCTATAATGGCATTGGCCACTGCTAAGGCCAGAAGTGGTGGCCATTTTATTGTGGAGGCACCTAATAGGCGGCCACCACTACCTCCTATGAAGGGACAAACAATTTTACATCCATGCCTTCTCTGGGATTCAAACCCGGGCCCTTCAGTATCGCAGTGAGTCTTCCCTAACCACTATGCCGTCTGGGGGGGCGGAATTTGCTTTCCTAAATCTGAAATTTTTATATTCAATTTGACACTGTAATTAGTAAATTCTCAAAATCAAAATCCTTTTTAATTTTGTTTTAGACAAATATATCATTAATATTCAAAAACTTTTATACTACAGTAAAGTCCATAATCCAGACTCGTCGGGACTTCGGCGATTCCGGATTAGGGTTTTTTCCGGATTATAGATCATCAATTTAAATCTGGTAAGATGGCATGCAGAAATAATACAATTAAAAATATGAAACCGCAATTTATGAAATAAAGAGCAATTATGATCTAAAAAGTATCAAAATTTACAGAAAAAAAGCTTTAAAAAAAAATGTTTATTTGTGTACTTTAGTAACATTTCTGTCAATGTAAGTTGTTTAACTTGCTTCGTTTTTTGTGCTAATACTTTCTCTTTAATTCTATAAATGGACATAATTTCTTGTTCAATTACAAAGCTCCACTTTTCAAATCCTGTAATTGCTGTGTCGAGAATACCGACTAACTTGTCAATCGAAATTGTTTCGTTTTCAATAACGTTCTCTGTTACTTTCTTCACTATCGGAAGTGCATATGTTTAAACGCTTTACTGGCTTTATGCGTATGCGTAGTGGATGCGCGCATCAAATGCGCATGCGTAAACGCATTATGCACATGCATAAATTTGTGGCATTGAGGTCCGGATTATAGATCATTCTGGATAATGGACGTCCAGATTAGAGACTTTGCACTGTATATAAAATACACTAAAGGGGTCTAACTTCTAGTTAGTGCAAACTAAGTTTGTCCTAAACAGAAAAAGAAAAAACTGAACATTGTAAAATTTTGGGTTGAAGTATGCAGACTGGAAGAAGATGAAAAATATAAATACCCAATGTTGACAAAACTGATTCAATCTCCTAACTTTCTTGTATGGAACCATTATTGAAAGTTCATTTAATTATATGGGTAATATTATGTCAGGATGGAGAACATCCTTAAACAGCTGTACAGATTGAAATATTATTTGTTCTCATTACATAATAGTACATGGGAAGCTTTTGAGTAAATCTTTCTAATAAATAGTGGTAAAGGTTTAGGCATAATATATTGCATAATTAGACAGTTTGTTCAAACTTTTACATTTCGCAAACCATTCTCTTCTTTCTAGCAGTTTCTTGTAAAGCCATTGTCTACATATAGATGTCCTGCGGGTCATACTGAATTTTCAGTGGTTAGCAAAGAAAAATATAAACACAGTATTTTCCAGAAAAAGAGCCTCCTTTTAAGAAAAGCAAGCTTAGTAATTTTTTTTTAAATGTTAGAAACAAAATAAATAAGTAACTGTGTGAATTCATGTAGGGAAATGTAAGTTAATTTTAATAAATTAAAAAGTCTGTATATTTTTTGCTTTGCTAGTGAAGTAGTTTGAAAATGTATATTTCACATCAGTATTCTAAATTATTTGAAATTATGTTGGATTTTTACTGTTTGATATTTTTTAAGATTTTTAAAATGGGGTTGCAATCACTCCTGTTCTATTACTCCTTAAAACTGAGATTATCAGTTCTGTTACACTCTGTTTAATGCCTTTATAATTATTAATTAAATTAAGTCAGTAGAAAAATTTCAAATAAATGATTTATTTTTATATGTTGAAATAATGAATGTTTCTTTTCCTTTGTAGGTTATATATTAGGATTCGCCAATGTGATTCATATTATTACTGTATTTCTTCCATGTCATGAGCATGTTGTTGATCTATAATAATGGTCATCATGTAAATATTCATTGGAAAATAATATGTTTTTCCATAAATATTTATAGGGAATTTGAGTTTCTCATCTGTTCTGAAATACTAAGCTTACAAGACATTGATTCTGCTTTTACTTTAATTCATTCCATAAAACAATTTTTGTTAAATATAATTTGATTACCTCACTATAAATTCTATTTTTAGTCTTATTTACAATTATGTGCCATCCATTGTCATCCCACTGAGATCTTGTGCCGTCCATTTTTATAATAAAATATTTTTATGTCCAAAGTAATATGGACTCAAATTTAATAAACTGCACTTTTGGGGAGATCATTTTCCAGGCAAATGTTATTTAGAGAAAAGAAACAAAATGCTGAGATATTTCATAATAGAATTTTACTTAGAGTATGAGCTAAATCTGATGCTATTGTGAAATTTATTTTCCAATTAAAATTTTGTTCATTTCTGAGTTGCAATCAGAATGTCAAAAATTATGATTGATGGTTGTGTGTAATTAAATTAAAATTACAAAAGAAATTTTATTTCAAAAGAAATAAAATTTCAAATCTTGTTATTTTTAAGAATTCATTTTATTACTCATTTAAAATATATTTTTTCTTCAGTGGATTAGTGTAAGATCAGGATTTATGTGACTATAATTGTGCATTAAACTTCTTTTGTAAAAAGATTATGAAGTTTTTTGTTTGATAGTTGATAAACATTTTTCTACCAAAAATTTGAATGCTTAATGAGCTTTGTTTAAAAACATAAGTAAGTCAGTTTTCATCTTATTCAAGTAATAATTCTGTAATAATTAAGAATTTAAAACAAATAATAATGCTTTAAAATTTTACAAGGCCACAGGCTTTGCTGAGTTACTCTGAACCAAATTTTTAAATTGAATAACATTAGTTTAGGAAAATATGAGGCCAGTAAATACATAGGAATAATTGTAAGGTGCATTAAAAGTTTTTTAGGTTTTTAAATAGTTTTATTATTTCTAGTCTATTTCAGTGCCACCAGTCCCGTCCTAAATCAGAAATGCAAAAGTGTGCTTCATGAGATAATCATTTAATATTAACTATGTAATATTATGCTAAGTTTTTATCAGCTTTGGTGAAAGCAAGAGAAATTCATTCTAAACTAAAACTTTTATTCAATATCTGGAGCTACTTAAATTTAGTTTTAGATTCAGAATACATATTCAGATTATGAATTATAGATGAGTAATTTTTAACGATTAAATGCCTTTAAATTAAATAATTGCAGCACTTACCCCTGCACCTATAAATATCCCAAAATATTCACATGTACTCTTAAAAGAGTTGTAATTATTAAAAATAAATTGAATATTTTGTGGAGAGAAATCATTAAAAGATAAGTAAATGTATAATATACATAATCATTAACAGGAAATTTAAATATATCATCCTTTAGTGTGTATAAATCTTTTTGTTTATAACACATTTGAAGAAAATTCTTGAGTTTTAATGAAAAATGCCGTTTAATTAATAATAAAATAGAATGCTACTAGTTTAATATGAATTAAGCATTCTGCATTTTATTTGTCTTCTGTTTAAAAAATAAAAAGGCTCTATTTATTGCCTGAATATTGTTTTATTTTATGTTAAGAATTGCATTTATATTTTTTCATGCAGTTATTATGCTATTTTTTAAAAAGAATAATAAGAGTTCTAATATATAATTCATATTCGTGTAATAATATTTATTACTTTTGACAACATTAACTTTTTTTTAATATAATCATTAAATGATTAAAAAATGAGCTATTAAAATAAAATCCCATGTTTTCTTAATCAGAAATATTTTGAAGTCTGTTGTTTTAATTACTGAATATTTAAAATATATATATTTGTTAACAAAAATATAAGGAATGTAGTTTATCTGTTTGCATGAACTACTGCATGTCAGTATATAAATATGTAAAAATTTATGAATTTTGCTATGTTGAAATATGGTAATTAAAAACAGCATAACTATACCTTTTACTGTACATTGCAAAATTTAACTTTTACTTTCTTATTTGATTCAGAATAGTTTTAAAAATTTTAGATTAGTTTTATTATAAAACTTATAAAACCTTTTATCACTGTTTTTGCATCTTAAACGTAATATCTTCATGCCAAAGAAAAAAATTCTAGAAATATAAAGTTATGAACATATTTATCATTTTAGACTCTTGTTTTGTTGTGGTTTTTTAGTCATTGCTGGATAAGAATTTTTATTATTAAAAGTACAAAAATTATTTAAATGTGTCTTTTTAGTTGAGAAAATATGATGATATGTACTGACTTTTCAAAAGCTTCTTTTCCGTAAATTTTAAAAATCTGTGCTTTACTTTTTTTTTTTTTTTTTTTTTCATTTAATGTGCTTGAAAAGATAGTTGTTAATTTTCACTTTAATGACATTAGCAGTTTATATGTTTTTCTGTTATTTTATATATTTATTTGATTTTTGACAACTAAATGTGTATTTTAAATATAATTTTATATATTTTAAATGCTCTATTTCTGTGCTTAATTGTTTTATTTTATGGTAAATTTTTCTAAATCATTATGTCATGAAGATTTTCGATCTTATTTCATTTACATCATTTGTCATCGGATTGGTAACTAATTTATTGTGCACTGGTTCATTAAGTTTTATTTATTATGTGAATAATGTTTTTATTGTTTTGAGCTGCATTTTAGCCTTAGAAAAGAGTTTTATTTTAAAAGATTTTTTGAAAATTTACATGTTGTTATAATGGAAAATTTCAGGGAAATGCTGTATGCTCTTATATGCTGTTCTTGGAAATGCTGTATGAAAAATGAAATACTTATTTTTTATTTGATTTTAAAAAAAATGATTTAATTACAATGTTTTGTGAGTTTAGTTCGTCACTTTTGTATTTGTTAACTATTTTTTTTTTTCCATATGTTCCTTAAAGTGCAACAAGAGCTTCATAATAAATCTTTATATTTGTTATAAACATAATAGAAAAAGTTTGACATCTTTTGAATTTTAATACATGGAAAGCTTTTCCTCCATAAAGTTTATTTATTTATTACTTATTATACCTTGATGTGTTAAGTGCAAAAAATCTTTAAAAAATATGTATTTGACAGGATTGTTTCCAGAGTTGTTTTTTTTTTATATTTAATTAAATTAATAAAAATTATAGAAAACTGAGACAGCCATATTTGCTTTAATGTAGTGATTGCTAAACAATCTGCTAATGTGAAAAAAAATTAATAGAGAGTTCTTTTCAAATTATCAATGTTGATCCTGTACATCAAAATAAGTTACATTACAATATTAGTTTTAGGAAAATAATTTCAAATTAAAAAAAAAGATAATTTTAATTTATATATTTCAAAATTATGTTATTTTAATATGTATACTATATAACACAAAATATAATTAAAATTTAAAGAAAGATTTATTTGGGCAGAGAGCTATCTGATCTATATTGAACTTTCATTTTTGGAAAGTGTTGATAAAGCTACATTAAAACAGCATAAATTTTAAACAGAATGGCATTCTTTATATTTACAATAATATATTTAATATTTGTAATATATATTATATTTAATTTATAACACAATAGTATTATATAAATATTTATAATAATATTGCTGGCACTGCTCGTTCTGACATTGATGCAACTAGTGTTGCATTAACTGACAAAATTTTAGAGGCAATAGAACATAAAAGTAGCAGTGATAGCACATAATGGCAAAAAGGCCAAATGTTATCCTTGCGTAGAGCAATTAATTATTACAAAACAATTCATCTATGGACCATGCTGTAATATGCAAGAAAAGAAAGTTGACTATTAGTATTTCAACAATGACAGCATTTTCTTTTGATGATACTGTCATAAATGTTAAATCATTTGCAGAAGTATTTTCATTATTATAAGGAGACAGAATAATTTAACTTTTTATGAAAAATCTCCAATGGATGGAAAAAATCTTAAAATATAAAACTATATTTTTAAATAGTTATATACTGCATACTTGAAATATATGAAGTAAGTATGATTTTGGAAAATATATTTTTTTTTAAAATATAAAGATATGTATTTATTAAAAATGTTATTTTTGTATGTATATGTATCTAATGACATACCAATGATTCAGTTTTCTATCTTTATTTATTCTTTATATTTATATAGTTTTCCAATTAAGAAAATTTCTTTATGTGTATATGTTTTTAATGTACATAATGAATTAAATATCTGTTATTACTTAAATTAATATGTTTGTGAAAATTATGTAGCATGAACATCAATTTACAATAAATACTTGTAGTATTGATTTGCTCAATAAATATCTATGAAGAATTACTTAATCTGATTTCTGTATGTGGTCATGTATATAATGAAAAAAATATGCACATAATATTTGCAGTATAAATAAATTTCTTGTATTATTTTGTCACATGGTATACTTCGAGAATAATGAAGTTATTTAATATATATATATATATATACTGACAAGAAAAAATCAGGATCCTTTTGTGAAGATAAAAATGTACCACATCTTTTCAGTGCTAAATTAAAATTGGAATTAAAATTTTATAAATTTATACAAATGGTCCTTAATGTGTTTTAGTTAAAATATGTACATTTTCAGTAATACTCCGGAAAATACAAGTATATATTATATATATATATATATATATATTAAAAATTTCTAAATTAGTTAATTTGAAAAGTTGAACATTAACTTACGTATCAGCATAGATAATGCTCTCTTAAGGCGGAAATACTGCTTTATTGTCACTTTTAATTATTCTTTTTTATAAAAAGGCTTGTTTCTATCAAGTTAAAAAAGAAACACATCAATGTAAAATTTAAAATTCGGGAAAAAAAAGGAACCCTAGGTTAGTGTAGATTTCAATCAAATTCTATTGATTTTGAGTGTGATCTTACACATAGAAAGGAAATTTTTGCATCTGAAAGAGAGGGACCTACATCCGATCACCTCCGAATTTGGTAAAGTTTACTCTCCTCTCTTCCAAAACCTATGCAAACCTAAGGTTCTGTAATATTTGTTCGTTTTTGCTTAATTTTAAAGGTACTACTGTATTTCATTTATGAATGCTGCATTACTTTTTAACATTAGCAGCAATAAGGCATTAAAAATCTTAATTTAAAAGAAAAATTGGAAATACACATAAGAATTTTCTTAATTATATGTCAAATTATAACGTTTAATTTAAATACATTTAATATCTTCTTGCCGAATATATTATCTCCCTTCCTTCATAGATAATTTTGTACATTATTTGCCTGTTATGTTTATAAAAATCAGTATATCACAAACTGTAATATGTATACCCTTAAAAATACACAAGTAGCCATTAAAAGAAAACCTTTTAAAATCATTTTTGAGGGGGGACGGTAAGACTCATCTAATCTTTTTCTATAATTTCCCATTTTCTTCAGATGATAAATCAGCACTGGCTCCAGTGCTTTTCTCTTAGACATTAATTCACTAATAATTTTGTAAAACTTGGCTTTGTTTATGAACATCAGAGTTTCAAGTGTCCCTTCCCTTAAAAAGTAAAACTTTTTTTGAATTGATCAAAGTAGATAAGTATTAACTAATTAAATAAACAGAACCTATTTAAAGATTAGGATCGTAATTAAATATTCTTCTTGTAGAAGTGCTAAATATTTCTGGCTTGATTAAGCCTTCGATTTTTACATTCACATTTGTTCACCACACAAGACAGCCAAATACATGTATGCTTATATGCATTTGGCTTCTAGAAAATGAACATACTTTAAGAAAACTTCGATACCATGAGTTTATATCATATTAAAATTCTGAAACCTTGTCATGAAGGAAATATGAAAGGATATCTGCCATTAAATGTCTAGTTCAATCGTACATGTAGTGGCTTGGAATAGATTGATACTTGGAAGCAAACATTTGCAGATATGACATCTGTCAGAAAAGTGTTTTAAACCAGCAAACAAAACCGGTCATTGGCTTTTCTTAGCATAGATTCTGATCATGCAATTGAGGGCCACCACACTGTTAGTCGTATTTGATGCAAAAATAAAATGGAAGTGATATCTGTTCCTAATGTATTTTCACATAGTATCATTTGAGACTTTTGTGATTTGTTTACTTGATTTTGGTCTAACCAAGAGTCCAATGAGTGATAATGATTGCTATATTGGTAAACTTACACATTTTTGGAGGGTTGAATAATGTTACACATGTTAGAACAGCACCTCATCATCCCTTGTGAAACGATTAAGCAATACGATATAGTATTTACAAAATGAAATTTGAATAAAAGAAAGTAAAAGAGAGAAAATTTACAGGAAGACTAGCAACATTTATGTTCAGTTTTTGTAATTCACTTAGTTTTAACTTTTTATCATTTACGTCAATTTAGCTTCTGTTGTAATTAATATTCGCTGGATTCGCTTTGAAAAACATAGTAAAGCCCTGGTATTGAAGAAAAGCTCAAGCAGATAAACTACTTTGGTGTTTGGTTACTGATGTTGGTATGCATATGGTGATGGACTGTGGCCAATAACGCGATAAACATTATGAACTGGAAACCCTGCAAAGGAGATAATTGTATATTTATTTTATCATTTTATTCTTTACACTCTCTTACTTTTCTCACTCCATCAGGAAAGGACAGTG